CGGTGCTGCTGCCTTCACACAACTGAAGGAGGGAGTTAAAAAAGTTTTCATTATCTGTAGTTAGTCTGTGAAAATACGAAGCTATACATCCAAATCTCCCTTTTAAAGGCTGTGTATGCATGGCCCCAAGTATTTTCTCCTTGGGTTGTGGGATTTCCTTCTTGGGTCGTCAAAGTTATCTACAGCGCAGTTTCGTTTACACATACCTTCCTAAGTTGTTGTTTGGTGAGATAAATTATTGAGGAAAATACTTTCTTTATAAATGGATCAATAGTTTCCGTAAAGGTTGTAAAAGATTATCTGATCAAGTTGACAACAACACCAAACATGTGTGGTCTTTCGTACCCTCGAAATGATTAATGATGAATAAAATTTGGAAGAAATTACCTTTACTTCCATCAATAGCGAAATGTGAAAAGATAAGCCATCTGAAGAGGCTGATTTTTGATGATTTCCATCGACATTTTGAACAGTGGGAGCACAAGTATAACAAGTTTGTTGTCACAAATGAAGAGTATTTTAAGAAGAAAGGAAGGGGAAAATATTAAATGCTCATTAAATGTTTTAAAAAAGCTCATCTCGCATATTTACTAAACGGACAACATAGTGTCTATACTGGCTTAACAGTTAATAACAGGATAAATACTTCATTTTAGTTGGAAATCGTCAATTCGGTATTCTCAGAAGTTCTATCAGAGCATTCATTGATTCACGAATCCCCATATATCAGTACAGTCTGATCAACTGATTCCAGAAAACTCTTGTAATTAACCTTGGCTTTGGTTACAATTTCGCCAAAGAAACCATTTATTTGAACCCTCTAGAATACTATTGCCAATCACTTCATTCAATAAATCACTACAGATTTCCCGTCTTTATGTGATGTTATTCAATCATTCGGGTTATTGAAATCAGACATCAACCACCTAATTGTAAATAATGATAAATTTTGACGTATTTATGTAATATACCTTGACTCAACTGTAATCTTGTTGAAGTTTGTATGTGTGTTTACTGAGCCCTACTTTTGCATTAGATTAGCGATCCATTATTGTTACTCAGTTTTCAGTGGTTCTGAAGCTCTGATGATATTAGTCCGTGTGGAGGATCATTTGTAGCTGGCTTATCCAAAAGGCCTAAAAGTAGTCTATTATTTAAATGCATGCTTCTAAGTCGTTTTAATTTCATCAGATAAATTACATAATAATAGATAAGCTGCTTACTGTTGTGAATCAAATTAATTTTCACTGGTTGAATTTCTTTTCTTTAGTAGGGTACTTGTATTCCTAGTTACTCTGATTAACTTTTGGAGAATATATATATATATATATATATATATATATATATATATATATATATATATATATATATATATATATATATATATTGGTATTGTTTTACATAGGCTGGGTGATTTATTCACGAAACTTTGATTGTAATTCTGGTCAACATACTTTAGAGAGAAATGAGCTATTAGAGCGTATTTGTGTATCTGTACAGTTAGGGTTATGCACTTGTGTCTGTTCATTGTCCACTACTCACAGTGAAAATGTTATTGAAACCAGAGTATTAGACAAAATCTTATTTTTTGCTAAATGTACTCTTTATCTAAGTTGATTGGTAGGTGAGTGTAAATATCGTGATCTTACAAGAGATCAATGGCTATCCGAATCACTTATTGGTGATAGTGTCTCAGACTGTGAACTTGGCTGATAGGGATTGTAATCACACTGAAAATATCATTTACTTCAAAACTGATGATACACCTTTACTGACAAGTGATGTTTTGGATGAAACAAAAGTGAAACGGGATATTTTTTACTACCATCAACCATCTAACATCATTGTTTACATTAATGCGTTCTGAACGTAATTATTGTTTTGCCACCGCATAAAGTGAATAAGTATATAAGCTAGGCATTGTATAATGTTATGTATTGTAATCTTCTGCCTAATCTACACTAGTCAGCATTGTGTCACATTGTGTGTGCTCTTAGTTATTTAACCCGTATTAATTACAACCACGTGATTATCGTAGTTATATCATATGATAACTGTCGAAATTATTCAAAACACTCACTGTTTAACAAGTTTCATCAATAAATGAGAATACATAATCGTTGAACTCCTTCTACCCATCTTTGATCTTTAGTCTAACATTTCTTGGTTAGTATTTATTTATATTACTGGATATTATGTTCAGATGCTGCAAAACACTTCATGAGGATTAGTTGTTTTATCCATACCCCTCCTAGAGTGTGTGTGTGTGTTTGATTATGATTTAACAATCTACCATATTTTTCATTCATTTTTTACTGAATTTCATCTGAATGTTTGCGGATGTTCATTAAGATAATAATAATAATAATAACAATAATAACTGTATTACAGCCAAATTCGATTTTGTTTATATGAAAATATGTTGATGTTTTATTTTGAATGTCAATCTATTTAGATTTGTCTATCCTGTCAAATTTATTGTGTTCTTTGTTTAAATTGATAAACCAGTCGGTAAAATGTTTACCGTTTTCTCACTCGATTCATTTCTATGCTGTCTTGGCGCTACAGTTAATGAAATATGAAAAAATATCTATCTAACTTTTGAAGGTTACGCACATCATAGGCAAGCATACAGTTAGTAACAACTTGGGACATGAAACAAGATTTTTCTGATGATACTTTAATTCATGGGCAACATATGAGTGACATCAATGTAACCTTGAGAAAATTCACCAACTTACTAGGGTCTAAAGAGTGTTGTAAGTTAGTGTGAGAAATCAGAATCGGAATTTATTGTTTGAAGTTAAGGTTATGAATTAAGATTCGAGTTTTCATCACGAATTGACATTATCCATAATCCCAAAATGTTATTTAATAATATGAATGGATGAATTTTGCGTCAAAACCCAAACCTCTCTATCTTAAGTCGGTTTGGTTCGCACAAAAGTTATAGTCTCGCTGGTTGTTCAGTTCAAATCATCAAAATCATCTATTGCACATATCAAATTAATTTCAGTTAATGTAGTTTTACAATTCACCACTGAGTTCACTACCGTTTACATTAACATGTAAATATGCGTATCTGTCTCTTACTTTCATTGATAATATCTATCAATTGTAAATGAGAATATTATACACATCTGATGTAAATTTCTGAACATCTTGGTTGTGTTACAAATAATTATTTAATTTCTAAAAGTCTAGTCAAAAATTCATGTTCATATTATAGCTTGACCCGAATAGCATATGAATAATATCCTTACATGATAGTTTTTGATAAAGTAAACAACGTGGATGACCTTGGAGATTTCAAATAACTGGAATTGATCTATTAGCCAGTTAAAATATAGTGTATGGCGATGGGGTAATTTATAAATAAAATGACAACATTACAAGGATAAGGAGTTCTGGTATGAATAATGTACATTTCCATGCGAGTTGTTTCTTCCAATAAAGGAAAAAACGTTAAGGTTTTGATTACGAATTTACATCAGCTATAGTACAACGATTAATGTTACATAGCTACGCTACAGAGCATTATCGTCAAGTAAATTTGATTGAGACATTTTAAATGTCAAAAAGAAACCTGGATAAACTCTCTGATTAACAATTACTTAAGCCTGTCATTTGTGATCTAGGTTGAGAATAAAATGATTAATTCGTGAAATAGTTCTTGTCAGTCATCATGTCAATCAATGGGTTTACTATAAATAAATTAAGGCCATGTACAAATCTGCAGCAGTTCAAGATACAACATTTCACAGCATTACAGTGAAGAAATTAATTTAAGGTGAAGAAATGCAGAAATTGATAGGCGAGTATAGTCGTATCATGTGCCTGTGCTTACATCATCTCAAGGTCGAACAGTAGACGAGATATTATAAGCGAGACACACTATTGGAGTAAGTCAATCATACACTTACTCAATATTTTAATAAACTTTTGGTTTAAAAGGGCATTCACTTATATATTTATGATTCAGTGTACATAATAATTCGTTACTAAATCAGGTATCAGAACTCAATGGACCAGTCATTTTCATATTCTTCTTTTGTGATCTGATTCAAGCATATTTTCTGTCTTTCCTCTTTCTTCTTCGTATTCATTCATTGTTACTATACAGATGTAACAATAACTAAAATATAACAGAATTGTAGAGCTAACCAAGTGTTTATTGAGCGATGCAATTGAGTACCTTTAGATCACAGTGAATGATAATTTCACCATAAATTATTAAACTTGAAAACGCAAATCACTAGATTCTGATTCGTCGTTGTTACCAAAGTTTTAAAAGTCCTATATGTATAACCTGTTTCAGGTTATTGTCTCGAACTAGGAGGAAATAATTGCTCAATCCCCTTAATTTGTACACTGGTCTTTTAGCTAGTCCAAACAGTCCATGATCGAATTCGTTTTTAAAAACTCTGTCTAATAAATATCCAGGTTTGTCTTAAAGCGAAATAACCTGTTTTCCATAGAAATCTTTTTATCATCCTCTTCTACATGAGTTTAATATATACGATCAGACTATGCTGATTCATACCAAACGTTTCAAATAAATTGATACCTGTTAGGTGGTTCAAAGTAGTCGGGATGGAATCATGTTAGACTTAGGTGTCGTGTTTGCTGGAATTCATCAGCAAGGTGCACGTACAGTCTAAGGAGAACTTATATCCTCTGTAAAAATCGAACCCACCAGCCTCACAATCTCAGACACTACAACTGAGCTATTCACTCCATGGCTAAATGACCACCTGTTGGTCCATGATGTTCCCAATTGATTGACCTAATCTCTCAACACAGTTCACGTGATATCGAGTCATTCAGATCAGTGATCATACTGAAATTTGTCGACAGAATTTGACCAGCTACTTAAGATGATTGGGCAAATATTATATTGGTCACTGATACTCGATAATCAATCAGTCAAGTTCCATATGATCATTAGTTTATTTATCTTTTCATTTCATTTTGTTTACCTCATTTTTATTCCGTAAAAGGGTGTAGTGATGCCGAATACAGGGTGTTTAGTTGGAAATTGGTCGCCACCAAGTGAAAAAAGTCGATTTACCACATTCGTTTTCTCAGGTTTGATGATTTTATTCAATAATGTTTTTATTTTTCACGAAACTTTAAAAATTATTTTTATTTGCTTCATATACTTCTGAATTGTGTATAAATATAGTATTGTGGAAAAAATGTTTATTTTACATTACTAGAATGTGAATTATTATGTCACAGTTTTATTATTATTTCTATGATTGTCGATATAGGAGATTTGTAGGAATTGTACAGTTTGTAGTTCAGTTCACGAGTCATTAAAAACTAGGTAGGACGAGATGTCTGTTTTGTTCTTACTATATCGCGCTCATTAACTCATCGCAGATCACACCTAAGATGTTCATGGTTTATAAGAATCTGTTTACCCATTAACTACTCCCTGCACACTCAGTGGTTTACATTACTAACGTTAGTCAACTCGCGATACTACGCAACCATCATCTGTTGCAATTTCATTCAAAATGTTTAAACTCTAAATGTCGTGGCTTCTTTTATTATATTCTCTGGGTCAGATACATGATTATAATAATGATATTTGTAGTGTTAGATAATTCTGATTATTATTAATTTCATTATTTTTACACGAATTATGCACCACAATAGAAAACCTGATATACTTAAGGATTAGTAAGAAGACATATTAAAATTATCTAGAGGCGCTTACGTAATGTAAGGATACTCCACATTCTCTTCAATAAGATTTGGGATGAGGAACAAGTACCAAAAGACTGGAAAGAAGGACTTCTGATGAAAATACCAAAGAAAGGCGATCTCAGCAACTGTGATAACGACAGGGGCATCACTCTTCTCTCAATACCGGGAAAAGTCTTCAACAGGGTATTGTTAAACAGGATGAAGGAGTGCGTAGACGCCCAACTTCGTGACCAACAGGCAGAATTCCGTAAGGATAGATCGTGTACAGACCAAATCGCAACTCTACGGATCATTGTGGAACAATCAATTGAATGGAATTCATCACTCTACATCAACTTGATTGACTACGAAAAAGCATTTGACAGCGCGGACAGAAAAACACTATGGAAGCTTCTTCAGCACTCCGGCGTGCCTTAGAAGATAGTCAATATTATACAGAATTCATATGATGGATTAAACTGCAAAATCGTGCATGGAGGACAGTTGACAAAATCGTTCGAAGTGAAGACCGGTGTCAGGCAAGGTTGCTTACTCTTACCCTTTCTCTTTCTCCTGGTGATCGACTGGATCATGAAGACGTCAACATCTGAAGGGAAACGCGAGATACAATGGACGTCTAGAATGCATCTGGACGATCTAGACTTCGCAGATGATCTTGCCCTCCTATCGCAATCGCAACAACAAATGCAGGAGAAAACAACCAGTGTGGCAGCAGCCTCAGCAGCAGTAGATCTCAACATACACAAAGGGAAAAGCAGGATTCTCCGATACAACACAGAATGCACCAATCCAATCACAATTGACGGAGAAGATTTGGGAGATGTAAAAACCTTTACGTATTTGGGCAGCGTCATTGATGAACAGGGTGGATCTGATGCAGATGTGAAGGCGCGGATCGGCAAAGCAAGAGCAGCATATTTACAACTGAAGAACATCTGGAGCTCAAAGCAACTGTCAACCAACACCAAGGTCAGGATATTCAATACAAATGTCAAGACAGTTCTACTGTATGGGGCGGAAACCTGTAGAACTACGAAAGCCACCACCCAGGAGATACAAGTGTTTATCAGCAGTTGTCTATGCAAAATACTTTGAATCCGTTGACCGGACACTATTAGCAACAACATACTGTGGGAGAGAACAAACCAGATCCTAGCGGAGGAAGAAATCAGGAAGAAGCGCTGGAAGTGGATAGGACACACATTGAGGAAAGCACCGAACTGCATCACAAGACAAGCCCTCACATGGAATCCTGAAGGCCAAAGGAAAAGAGGAAGACCAAAAAACACATTACGCTGAAAAATAGAGTCAGACATGATAAAAATGAACAAGAATTTGATATAGCTAGAAAAGAAGGCCCAGGACAGAGTGGGTTGGAGAATGTTGGTCAGCGGCCTATGCTCCATTGGGAGTAACAGGCGTAAGTAAGTAAGTAAGTAAGTAAGTAAGTAAGTAAGCTTACGTAATGTCTCCATTACAAGTGTGAAATGACTTTTAAACTTTGGTGTTATTGAAAACATCCAGTTTGTCCTGTCTTCTTTGTTTGAAGATCATCAATTTACTGCATAGGCAAACGCTGAATAAGTGGATTTGGAAAAATCTGTAAGTACGGTCCAAGCAAAACGCTTGTGGGTGAGAATATCATCTCCAAAAGCTGTCTCCAATTTGGCTGACACTTGACCAAAAAGCTGAGAAGAATCATCGTTCTACGAGTACATCATTTGTTTCTGAAACCACAAGGTGACGGATAACAGACAAAACGTGAAACTATGGTGTAAATAAAATACCTGATTTTTAAACACATCCAGTGGTTTTTGGAATGGTGGAAATGCAGATGCGTTAAGTGTATTACCATAAATAGGAAATATTTTGAAAGTTTTAAGGTTGATCAGTGTTAAATTCTGTTCATTGATGATTTTTGTTAGTGTGGGGTGGTTTGTGGGGATGGTGAAATTTCCACAGCTTACGTCACAGACTGATCTTGGTTAGAGTAGGGAGCTGTTCTGCCCTAGTGTCGGATGGTTCGACAATGCTCATCATCGACCTCATCCGGGGATCAAACTTAGGACCTTCAGTCAAACATGCAGGAGCTTAACCTTTATACCAATGAGCTAGCTACCGATGGTGCACACACATAACTTCAATCAATTCAAAGTACCACATATCCATCTCCCATCGTGGATGTACACTGTTGAGGAGTCCTCTACTACGATGAAACAGCTGTCCAGTGCTTTCTGATTTTTAATGGTATTCGACTTAGGAAGATCAGTGCGTTACGTTTAGAATCTTTTATAAGAACATTTATGTTTAAGCATACAGCTGAGACAAATTGAATTAAATAATTTTATACCACTAAAAAGTTAACGTTCTGATTAATGTATTGAAATTTAACAGAGTTCATATCACTAATTTATACAGAAGTGAAATTAAACTTTCTGAAGTTTTCATTTAGCTACCTAAAAATATGAAGTAGTTAAAATATTATACAGTATCAGCTAGTGTTTTAGCTTAACAGTCGTTAGTAATGTGTACTTGTAAGTACGTTATATTTTTTTAGAATTTACTCATTTCCATTTAACATATATTAACTGCATATCTTTCCTGAATTTAATGTTAGCCTGCTGTATTCCGAAAAAAATTTTTCTTAAGGTTTAGTATTTGGTGCTGTTATTGGTCAATCATTGGCTGGTGTAATTTCACAACCAAGATTAATTCATTCGACAAATTTAACAACTCCAATGTATATTTCCTATTGGCCTTATGTTCATTATATTTACGGTGTAACCGCTGTAGTATTCTCTGGAATTTGGGCTATTTTAGTATTTAATAATCCTAATCAACATCCATGGATAAGTTCAACTGAGAAACAATATCTTTTGTCAGCATCAATAAATAATTATTCTGAAAATGATAAAAAGTCAGTAAGTCGAACTTTGTTTAGATATAGATTTTGTGTAAACTGGTAAAGGTTTGTGATTTCTTATAGTTAATTTTCAGATGTGTGATTGATCAGTTTCTATATTTTTAGCCTGAACTCAGTAACTTGGTGAAAAACACAGTGTACTGAATTTGGAAATCAACAATGAAATTTAGACACTTCTGTCTAGTGATTTCCAAATTAGACGAAATGTGTATCACAGATTCTACTTCTAGTCACCACCCAACTTTAATGTACAAAGCTTGGAAACAGTTAACCCAAGTAAACTATGCTGTTATTAGGCCTAGAATATGGTTAACCTAACATGAGTTTAAATACTTGCCAGGGGATGGAATAAATTCATAATTCTAAGGGCTTTGAAGTGACTGAAAGTAGCATCGAACTCCATCTGATGCATTGTATTATGTCATTAGGTAATTTTTAAATGTGTTAAATGTGCATAGATTGTGTCATTATTGGGAGCCTATTTATATTCGTGCAGTGTGGTTACATTTTATGAAGAGTTATCATCTAGAACCAGTGACCGTTAACGTCTAGTATCTCTATTATCGTTTAGCCATCTCATTGAATCTAGTTGAGTTGAAGAAATCATTGAGAATGGGTTTGATCATAGCAACAAGGTAATTTTAAGTGGTATGAGAGGTATGGGTGATATTCTTGATTCCCAGCCTTCCTACTGTAGAAGTATACTTCTTTGTAAGGTACTATAAGAAGAAACTGGGTTACGGGTGAGATCTATGACCTGAGGAAGTGACTCCACATCCCAAGGGACAGCAACCCAAGGTTGGTCGTACATGGTGTTTTTGTGAACAGTTTTGGATGTGTTTGCTCCCCATTTGTAATGCCTTAAAATTAGAGAAATGAATCCACTTGGCAAGGTGAAGTTTTCTATTTTTAGGGCTGGCCGTTTCTAACCCCTTTTTCAGTTTAAATGAAGCATTAATGCATATGCTTATTACCCAAGAGAACCATTTCACTGGTGTCACGTCTGAGTATAGTCAACAATGTGACTTCAACTCCAGACTATGAGTTTGCTGCTTTAAGCCCTACTGTTCTCCAGCCAACACTCTTGACAAGGTACGACCAAGAGGAATGAAAATTTCAGTTAATATAACTCCATTACTTCTTCGCAATATCCAGGCCTGATCACCACATCAAGGTAGCAGTCAAGTCAGTTGAATTGCTATAGAGTATTATGTTAAGCTGATGACTTTCACCTCACACCTTGCAAAGTTAAGTTTGTTTCAAAGCTTGGAAAATTCAACATAACAAAATTAATCAGTCTGAGCTACAAATTCGTTTGTCGATTATTCGATTTTGAATTTTTTAGTTGATCTGGATGTTTTCGACGATGATTTGTAGAAATACAAAATTATTTATCCATCTTTTATTATTTATAGGGAAAAATGACAAGTAGTGTCGTGAATTCAACAGATTCAAGAAGGTATTTACCTATTTCATTTTATTAATTTTTGTGTCATTAATTGCACAACGATCGTTCAATACGATTAGTGATAACTTTTAATCCAGAGATACCTGAACTCTACCATTTACATCTCACTAGAACTTTAGGGATGGTTCTCTACAGCAACCCGACCGATATTAGTCTGTAACAAATATAACTTAAAAATTAAAGTGAATTCCTTAAAATCGCTTCATTTCCATTAAATCATTGTTTAATGAAGAAGATATTAAAAAACTTACAGTAGGTTGGATCACTTTATTTTTTATCATGTTACATTTGCCATTGTCTACAGTTCTTTGACAAGTAATTTCAACAGAATTAGAAGTAACAATAACAACTGAACCAAGCATGTAGAACTGAGTACATAGACATCTGGTTTATACAAGAATAACGTAATAAGTTTATAGTTTAGATTCAGTTAACCGACCGGACAGTTATATGTTCTGACAAGATGCCTGATTCCTGGATGTTAATTCGAAATAGAACCAATCATTTTCTTCATGTCATTTGGTTACTAAATACCTGAAATCAGTTAGTGGTAGTATACATTCCTACTGTAGTGAACGAGAACACAAGTGAGGACAATCGAATGAATTTGAATACAAAATTACAGGACATCTTAGTAAAATCTGAGAACTATACAGTAAATACTTCATTTACAAAATGTCAACCGACTGTTTCAAATTTGACTGTTCCTTTTGCAAATATCAGTTAGTCGTCTCAGACTTCATTATTCCTTCATTTACACAGCAATCATTCACTGTTCTCATCCTATTTTCTTTTATCTTCTTAAACTTCTGCCGCTAGGCATTTCACTTTCGGTTGATGATACATACTACTTATATTTGTCGACAGTAGCATACACCACACTACTGGCTAACCTTGAGGGATAAAATTTTCTAAGCATCGAAAGAACATCTCAGAACTGTAAAAAATTAAGAATTTTATTGATGTGATTACGTAAACTTAATTCTGAAAACTACAAAGAAAGTTTAGGATTCACTAAATAACTTTGTGGATTACTGAACATTACCAGGGATGTGACTTACTTTATGCTCAATCGGCACTAGTTTCATCATCGATTCAAGTTTACATAATCAAAGACTTTAATTTGATTGATGGTGACTTCAGCTTGAAAATGGATTTAGGTTCTGACTGGCTGGAATGTGGCTTAAAACATATGAAGCATGGTAAGTTATTAACTGCTTAGAATGTGATGTTATATGAAATGAAAGTAAACTAGCGAGATCAATATACATAAGAACAGCTCACATTGTTAGTGAATTCTGTCATAGATACATGAACGAGTATATTACTAAATCATATACAGTTTTTCATTTATGAGGACTTTTATCTTCTCATTGTCGATGTTGAGGTCTGCAATCGATCAGTTCCTATCGATATACGTGCATCCCAAACTATTTTGAAAAGTCTTTTATTATGATTTCGTTAAAGTTCTAATGTGTCTATCAAGACTGTAATCCAGGCACTTTCGACTAATGAGTCCCAAATGAAACGAAATACGTATCCTGTCTTTCGATGTTAACCACCAATGTAATGGCTATTACATATATCCTTCAAGATGGCTTTTAAGTAAGACGAATTGCCTGTTATACTAGTCTTTTTAACAGGAAATATATATGGTAATAGCATGTTATTCATTTTTCATATTCATGCTATTTTGCCATAGTTTTGTTGATCATGATCTTTGAATTTATTCTTTCCTTCATATGAAATTTAATCTTTTTTAGTTTAGATAATATTTCAGTTGAAACGAGAGTTTTACACAAAAAACCAGTTCCATGGCGTCAAATATTTAAGTCAGCTCCAGTTTGGTCAATTATAATTTGTCATGTTTGTTTCAATTGGTCTTTCTATTCATTAATTACATCTATGCCTACTTATATGTGTCGTGTCCTAGGATTCAGTATGACCGAAGTGAGTCTTAATTTACATCTATATGTTTAGTTCGAGATATCTATTAAGTGTGCTGGTGTCAAATAGAATCTCTTAAGTTTAACCTACATCAACAACACTCATAACTTCCGCTTAACCAACAAAACTAATGACCATCAACATTGGCAGTATATCCAAATACGCATTAGTTCGCACAGATTCTTTTATTTACCCTAATCCTTAATAAGAATATGTGAACTGTTAACCGATTTATTCTCTATTGTTATATCTCAAAAACTCACATGATAATATGAAAGCAATTACGTGACCCAATAAGAGCAGAGGATAAACATCCATCATCCTCTATTGCTAAACATATAATTGAAACAGGTCACAAGATTGATCTAAATTCAGCTTTTGTAGTGCTGTATAAAAGTGTAGAAGGGCGTATACTAAGGTTTATTGAAGCCTTAGCCATACGAAAATTCAAACCCCCTTTATGTATTCAAAAACAGTTTGTTCTTACCTTAAACCTACCCTGGTAATATTGACTTATTATTCAGAGTGATTAGGTTTTGAATTGTGTTCACATTATTATTATTACTCTTATTATTACCCTTATCTCCTCTAACCCCATTTCCAGTCTAGTTGACCTTTTATTTTTATATATAAATGCTCTTAACAAGTATATGTGTGATCAGATTGTTCGAAATGTATTGCGCCAATATATCACGTAGTTCTGATAATCTTCGTCTTCTCATTACATTATCGAAATTTGTCAAAGGGACTAATTGTTTAAAACATTACCGTTGGATGCCGGCTCAATGGTCTAATGGTTAAGTGCTCGCGCGCGAAGCCAGTAGGTCCTGAGTTCGAGCCCCGGGTGGTGCGGGCTCGTGGATGCGCACTGCTGAGGAGTCCCATACTAGGGCGAAACGACCGTCCAGTGCTTCCAGGTTTTCAATGGTGGTCTAGCTTCAACGGACTCATGAGTTCAATCTGTGAAAATTTATAAAGAATTCATTGTATATATTTAATAATTTCAAGTGATTATTCAACATAGAACTGTATAAATTGAAGATAAACATTAACTACTAAAAACGGCTCTTAATGTTCTAACGTTTATATCATGTCAAATTAGAATAAACAGATGTATTTCTAAAGTTTAAGTTATCTGTAACTTTTTCAATGTCCTGTATTTATGTTGTGTTAAGAATTATTGATTGAGATCACGAAACGATTGATGTTAGACCACCGTTGGAAACCTGGAAGCACTGGACAGCCTTTTCGTCCTAGTTTGGGACTCCTCAGCGGTGGGCATCCATGATCCCGCTCGCGGGATTCGAACCCAAGTCCTTCAGTCTCGCGCGCAAATGCTTAACCTACTGGACCACTGAGCCGGCATCCAATGGTGTTAGTGTCTAACATCAACCAATCCCAAAAATTGCGCGACCATCTTCCATTGCACTGAGGTAGATATCTGTCTCTAATCGACACGGATTAGCTCCATTGGTCACGGTTTCTCACTAGAACTCCGAGAATTTTCTCACGAAGCTAGTGAGCGAGATCGTGGATGCGCGTTGCTGAGGAGTCCCAAAATAGGCTGAAACAGCCGTTCAGTGCTTCCAGGTTTCTAATGGTGGTCTAACATCAATCGGTTCATGATCTCAATCAAAAAACCTTAATAATCTCCACAACCCTATACTGAGAATTAAGCAATTTTGTAGATTTTCCTGTTCATTTAGTAAATGAATGCTGTATATTGAAGTGTGATTTTTAATTGAAGATTTTATTTTAAGCTATAACTTGCACAATATTAGCGTTTTACAGTCAACATATGTTAAAGTGCTCATAACAGATACTTCGCAAGGAATTTTTGGTGAAAATCACACTTCAATATACAGCATTCATACACTAAATGAACAGAAAAATGGATCCTACAAACTTATTCAACATTGAAAACGTTGGAGGTAGCCTCAGTCCATGTTTTATTTGCTGAAAATTGAAATATCTGTAAGATGAAGTTGTAAATGGTATTAAAATGAATAACTTTGATCTAATCGGTGATGCTTTTCAAAAGATGTTGTTTTCCGAACAAGGCTTATAATTAACATCTTGTTCAAGAAAGTCTTTGTATTATCCTCACCAGTGGAGCGTGATGCCATAGAAACGAATCGCCCAAGCATTTTTAGAATGAAGACTAGTCAATACTTTGATAGAGGATTTTTTCTGTGGACTGTTATTTGTTAAGGTTATATTATATTGGGATAAAATAAGTGTCCGTGAATTTTTAGCGTATTTGCTTCCAAATGTTTAGTATCTGTGCCAATATCTAGCTTCCAGGGCAAAGACCGACCCGCATCTCTGAGTGGTGCCATGGAGTTAGTCAACTCTGTTCATGAGCTAACGCGGACTATTAAGTAGGGACTAGGCTGACCGGCCAATCCTCTTAAACCAGTAGAGATAAGGCTAATCTTCCAGTTTGTCTTAAAATCTGAATGATAGAGAGGGGCGTTTAAGTTTCTATTGACATGCGTGAAAGTTAATACTGGAAGAAAATTTCATTTTAGTGCCTGACTGGATTCACTCTGGAAAGACCTATTGGGTCTGGGAGGGCGGTCAGAGCTAAGATCATAAACTGTGTTGTAACCAGTGCTCAAGGGTTGACACTAAGCTTGCCTATAGCATTAGTGTGATGAGAGCATATCGTTAACTATGAATTATGTATGGATTTATTTGATTACTTTTTATTCAACCACTGGGCTGCTGACTGGGTTGGTAACATCTATACTTATGCGTATACTATTGAGTGTACAGGCCTTCTTCTATCCACTCTATATATGCGTGTAACCTACATTTGAGAGATGAAGCATCTATACTTATATGTGTACTGTAGAGTGTATAAACCTTGATTTACGCGCTATATACATACATGTAACGTATACTTATGACAGCATGAATATATGCCTATGTGTTTACTGTAGAATGCATGTCTTTGATGAGTTTATTCTACATATACATGTAACTTATAATTGCGGCAGTTCCACGCCCATATCAGTGTATTAATTATAGTTCTAAACGATTTTGGGTTGTTCCCAAATTCCTGAAAGTGACAGGAAAGGATAGATTGTAATTTGTCCGTCTGTGATACAGATACTGATTTTCGTATTCGCACACGAAAAACAGCAGAGTAAACTGTAACGTGTTCGTTTACTTTCCCTCCTCCAGTACTCAGTCGCGAACTCTTTGCAAGAGCTCTTTTCTTTTCACGAAGATCCTAATGGTTTCTCCTAATTCGTTGGGTGGGAATAATAATATCTGGCTTATTTCCATTTATTTGATAAGTGGATGCTGCATATAAAAGCATAATATTTTCAGAGAGGATTTCATTTCATACACTAACTTTCACTTTGTCAGTTCTTTTTATCTGATAAGTTAAGATAGGCTATAGTGGCGTATTCCTGGAAGAAATATATAGGTAACTTTAGATGACTGAAATGAAATCCTCAGTAAAAATCACACTCTGATATGTAGCACTGATATATATTAAATAAATGGAAGAATGCTCGGAAATGCTATTTGCTGAACTTTTGTTGGATACCGATAAAAGGATGGTTGTCCTAATACTAATATGTTTAATTTTGCGTTGTTTTGCTGCACCTAATATTTTTTTACAAGTGGAAAAATCAATTTATTCACCTTTTTTCCTTGTTTTTCTACGTTATTGAAAAAATAACAATTTTTACATAGAATGGTCTCTTATCATCTATTCCGTATATTGCACAATCGATTGTCGGTTTATTTGCCGCCTATCTGTCAGATTTTGTAATCGCTAAACGATTTTTATCTACCACTTCGGTACGTAAATTAAATAATGTTATAGGTAAGTGATCATTTCTTGTACCCTGTGTTGATGATGACAGGGAGAACCACTTGCTGATTTTTAAACGAATAATACTCTTGTTATGCCTACGGAGTTACTTGACTGACTTATGCTTAGTATTGAAAACCCCGAATTTGACGACATTTAGTGACAAAACGAAGATTGATTATATGAATTTATTCAACCTCCAAAACAAATCGAACGCACATCTGAATACACGGATCCCATGTGGCTTTTCATAAAATCAGTTTAACACTCATACTTGTATAATTTGAATTAAGTGATATCTAACACCAATTAACCACTAACTTATTGAGTGAATACATAGGTACAATATCATACAACTAAGTATTTTTTTCTCAAGATGTAGTGCAAATAATCGATTTCATGTCATTTGCAACCGAATCGATTAAGTCATTGCTCGCTACATCAATTGTTTCAGACGATCAAATTATAAAACTTTCGGTTAAAGGGGAATACAATTATCTCATTGATGTCAACTATTAGAGTTTTACTACTTAGAAAATACCGAACTTGATTGACTGAATCAGTTTGACATTTGCTAATGTTGATTTTAGACAATACTAAACGGGAATTCATAATTATTTGAAAGGTTTGTTTTTTCGAATGGTTAATGTGAAAGATTTCAATTGATCAGTCCGTGTAGGAATATGTACATCGCATCCTGAACGGATTCCCTAGATATTGCCCGTTAGTCACAAGCTTTTATTAAAGTTAGATAGTGAGTAGCAGTGAAATCCAAGACACTCATTTTTTCCTGTTCGGGTCTCTTTAGTTGGATGTTCCTTCATCTCAGTGTCAATGTTCACTCTGAAATTCAATGTCATTAACTTTCGCTTCAAACCCCAATATATTACACAATAGAGTTGGGTCATATAATTGGTTTCAATGACACAAAAATTCCACAAAAAGGTTTTGATTCTTAGAAAGAGAGATTAATAGCAGAAGCACTACACATATGGGCGAATTCAAATAGTATTAATAGGAGAGATGCAATACAATTAGTTGCACCATGGCAACTAATAATTAATAAGTAAACCTGAACTCCTTATTCCATTGAATACATTACTTATTATCTGAATAACAGTAATTATATTTAACTGTTCTAATCAGTTGTCTTTTCTGAATATGGTAAATGATTAACTGCAACAGTAAAAATAACAATCATCCATTCCTCCATCTTTATTTTGTTTATTCATCATCATTTTATGCATTCTATGACATCTTAAAAAAACCATAGATCAGAGGCGACAAGTAGTCAATGAAATTTCTTCTTACACCTCAGATACACTTACACACAATACACACAATGTGTTGTCTTAACACACTTCCCCTTACACACCGTATGTCTTATATACACTACGGCAAATATGAATTTAAAGCAATTAGTCCCTTTTATAAATTTTGATAGAACAATGAGAAGACGGAGTTGATCTGAAAAATGTGATGTATTTGCACTATACATTTCGAACAATCTGGTCACGCATATACTTGTCAGGGCATTTTATATGAAAATTATTAAAGGTCAATTAAATGAAAGTTCAAGTAAAAAAGTAACAAAAGGGAGAGAAAGAATAAGAAATTGTCGCGTTATCCTAGTCCATAGAATGACTTAAGGATTACCAAGGTAAATTCAAGATTACAACAAATTGTTTTTGTACACATAAGGGGGTTTTTAAATTTACGAATAGCCAAGGCTTCAATAAACTTAAGAATTCGTCCTTGACAATTTCTATACAACGTTCTAAAAGCTGTATTAATGTCAATTCTGTGCCCCGTTTCAATTATATGTTTCGCTATCGTTGAACCTGGTTTTCTACCTCCCACGTTGATCGGATCATTTGACACATATTGGTTTTGAAGCCGTCTAGGCACATGTCCAATGACCCTTGATTGCATTGATTGGATGACATATTTAGTATATAGTTAACCGAAGAACCATATGCCTATCTATATTTGATTATATTTCCTTGAAAGGGCTTGGGCCAGATTGCCGAGCAAAACGTTGAATTTACTTCAAATTCATTCACTGAGATCTTACAAATACATTCTTCCTCCATAAGCTATACACTAGTTTCTGTTTGAACATCAACAATGCAGGTACATTCAGTTGATCAGTTCCAAAAATGGAACTAAACGTACCTACCTGGTTCCACTGTCAGTTACTATTTAAATTAATAAGATTTTTGTACTCTTTAAAAGATTATTAAAAAGTTTCAGCTATCATTCTTTATTTACCAATGGTGATTTCTGGTTAGTTAGGAGGCATTCATTCACAAATAGTTACTTTTGACGTTCCTTCTAACAGAGCTGTCGAAACCTGTGAGGTTGATCCTGCTTTGAATGGGTAAGGTTCAGCAACTCACAAATAAGCTAACTGGTTTAATCATAGAGTTTTCATTAGCATTATGGACTATATCCACTTCATTGATTAAATGATCTTCGAGCTAAATAGTCAGTTGAATGTGATTCACTGGATTCTGGGTTTGTGATCCATAGGTATGATGCTTACAATAACATCTAATTTGGTTGTGTATACTACTGAAGAGGAGTCCGAAATGAAGTTGTGAAAGTTATCTAATTGGTCATATCTAAAGCCGTTCAAATACATTTTCTTTTCTTTTTTCAGTAGAATGATAAGTAACTTGGTGTAAATCAGTGACCTTAATATTTCATTTTCTTCTAATTTAGTAATCATTGTTATAAAAACTATTCATTGAATGATCATGTTAAACTTTTTCTTTCCGCTTTCATTTTCTTTTCGTCTCGATCAACCTAGCCTTGGGTGGCCTTGGTTTAAGTCTAATATGTGTCAGTTTAGTTGGATGTAATCGGATGGCCGCTATTGTTTTATTCTCTGTTGCAATTGGCTTAATGGGGTTTTCTTTGGCTGGTTATGGATCGAATGCTTTGGATTTGGCCCCAATTTACAATGGTAGTTTATTTTTCTCGTTAGTTCAAATTGTTAAGGATGAGAGACTTTTGTTAGTTAGTTTATTTTCATAGGTGTTCGTGTGTGTGTGTGTACTACTGATGAAACCTACAAACTTCAGTGAAACAACTATCATCTATTGCTTTTCAGTGTTCACTAGTACCCAAACTAATATCAATCTGTGATGAATATTACTAATGATTTGTTTTTGTTGTGTTAGGAAATTTATCGAAGGTGAAGTTCCTATCACTAGTTACAGAATCATCGAAAACCAGGGATTGATTAAGTTAACTAGGGATTTCATAGTAGTGTACATGCACGACCCTATATGGGATCACACTTAACGATTTTCAATATAATAATAGTGGTATTATACATCTTCTTTGCGTTTTATATATTTATAGGTGTAGAAAGATGAAAACGGAAGGTAGCATCATCATCATATCTCATGAAATAATCTTCTGGTGACTAAAAGCACAGCTTTTACTTCAGGTTAACAGATATCTTATAAAAAAAGTCGAAAAGCTTTTTCAGAAAAAAATAATTACAAATTTCAACAATCACTCACAGTAGTTCTTTTATTGTTTGTCGAAGTAATATTATGTTCAGTATAGTAATTTCAATGGTATATGATTTCATATAATGGACAGCTGAAAAGTGGATAATGTCTTGTTTTTCTGGTTCTGTAGGACTAATGAGATTCTATCAAGCAAGTTGTAATGTGATCACTAATCGAAATAACTTGACTTTGTGTGTACTTTGTCAAATATTATATGATTGGAGACAACCTACAGGATATCCTTTTCTACCTGGTATTCATGATAGTTGGATTTATCAACAAGGCATACCTTCAGTCTGGAGGGAATCGGTGCGCTCTGCGGGATTGGAACTAGTAGTACTAAATTTCACAGTCTGAGATGTTAGCACTGAGTTATTCAGACTGTGACTGACCTCCTATCGGACTGAAACATTTACAACTGATTAATCACTGAGTATTGGTGATGAATCTCATGCTGTCAAGTTCATTATTGTCTGTCGAATTCCATCAACCAAGTTACAATTTGACTAAAATATCGATTGAAATTACGTTATTCTAAAAAGGTTGATAACACTCCATAGAAATAAACTATTGACTGGAATAAGTATATAAAACACAGATGAATGAAATGGGAATATCACGGAATATAAATTAAATGTATAAAAGACTTCTCTACTGATTCATTTATTTTTCAGTTGTCTTCCGTGGTTGTCTGATTAGGAGCAGATGATTATGTAAACTACAAAATTCATCAGTCCCTTTAAGCCTTCTGTTCTAATAATAAACCTGTGCGCACTAGTGACTAAATTCCAGAGGGAATTCAGAGATCTAAGCTAAATTAACCGGTGTTCAATTATGTTGATTGTTTGTTAGTTACTCAAAAATGGCATTAAAATATGTCTGCGCTGTCTCACGAATCGACGGAAGTTGAACATCTTAACCATTGTGTGCCAACTCCGTGGTCTAAATGTAAAGCACTGGCTGATCGGTCTGAAGGTTTTTGGATTCGATCCCTCTGTGGAGTCACTGCTGATGAACCTCATACTAAGAAGAAATAACCATTTAGTACTTTGTGGTTCTCAGTAGCGGTCTAACTAAGATTGATTCATGATGTAAGTTACAAAATTTACTTATCAAGATTAGTTAAGTTCATCTATTGTTTGTTATTATCAAATGATAACTAAATGATTTTACTAAAATAAATAAAATTCTTTTGAGAAATCGTATTTTTGTCATAATGTTAACTATCAAATTATCCACTCAAATTTTTTACAAAAGGACTTTGGACACACACACACACACTTTCTTTGAAAACAACCTTCAAGTAGTCCATTATATTTGTGGTGAGACTATAATTTATGGAAGACCTTTGAACAACACCAAAGTGATCTTGAGACAACTCACCTAATTACTAAAGTCAAAAGAGACCAATAAATCAGTGTAAGGAATTGGGATTAGAATTTAGAGTTATAATTTAAGGTTAGGAATTAAAGTGAGGATTTTCATCAGAAACTGGCATCAGTTATAATACCGAATTGCTATTTAACTATATGGATGAATGAAAATCCAAGACCTGATACCCGTGATTTCATAAGTTCGTTCATAAATTATAGTCTCGTGATATTTGTCCATATTTACATGATGAAGATTTGTGTAGTAAAAGTGAAACTTATTTTCTTTACCGTTTCCGTGATATACATGAGTATGATGTCGATTAATTTTCAGGCAATATAATTTCAGTAACCAATACTGCTGCTACTCTGCCAGGTATCTTTGGTCCACTATTAATCGGTTATATAACAAGAAATAGTGTAAGTGTATTTATCACCCTTTTTTTTAAAAAAAAGAATTCAATATTTGTTATTTTTATGTTGAACCTAGTTCCGGCTGGTGTATTGAGATTTTAACAAAACATGATTCGTATAATCTAAATATGGTACTACCCAATTCCTTGTGTGATCTCAAACTAATAAGTCAGTCATTTTACTAAACGCCAATTATTTAAACTAAGGTGTATTTTAGCTCCACTGTATTTTTGGTTCATTTTACTTAGATAAGAGGTAAAGGCCCGATCATTACTATTAAAAAATACAGTGTAGTAATAACTAAGATCATTTTCATTCCCTGTTATATAACAGTGATATAGGATTAACTAACAAGGACAAATCGAATTTATGCAGAAAACGAGGTCAGAGTGTTATCGTGTAAAAGAATTGTTTACCTAACTGAGTATCATCATCTATACTTATTCTAGTCATTTTTAAAACTTGAAAAGTATGCATTAACTGTAAATATTGTTATTGTTAGACTTTGGACAGTCATGATCGTTCTCTTCTATCTAACTGATTGTTCAAATGTTAGGAAAATGATAATAACTGTAACAGCTCACAGTATATAACAGATATAGTGCTCGCTGGAAATCCAAACTAAAGTGATGAATCAGTGATTAAGACATTCACTGTTCAGTCACAGTCCCAGGTTCGAACTCGGCCCCGTCCACTTCTGTTCGGACAACTGGGTAGTATAACTAGCGTTCACATGTAAAGTGTAGGTTAAAATCAACTATACAAATCTGCACTTGAAAATGAATCACCAATAGCTATAGTATGAATTTGAGTAATCATCAGTTCACACTGGTACAGTCTTCAGTCAGAGTTTAATATTGGTAAAATATTAATAATGGGACTGATAATGTAATTGCATATACTAACATGTTATCTCAAGGTTTAATTACCATTTAAGCTATCTCATCTTTGATGAAAGGATTACTCTCTGTTGAAAAAGTAATATTTGCTTCCCTATCAATAACAAAATTTTAGAAAAGTATTAAATAATAGCAGATTGAATAACTGTTTCTCATTAGTCTATTGCTGTTCAGCAACTTCCACTCATCAGGACTTGATGCCATTACCGAACCAATTAACTTCAGGTCTTGCAATGAACATGATATCATTGAATGATTTGATATAAAATAGAGCATAACTTTCATTTCACTTAATGTATGACATAACATCATAACTGTATTCATGTCACTTGTCGATAACTGTTTCATTCTCAAAATGATTAGATATTTCCATCTACTAGAAATTTGAAAATTTATATCGAAACTATAGAATAACACGAACTTACTACAGTTAGATACATGAATTATGACTCGACGATCTAAATGGTAACGCATTCGTAGAAGTACCTTTTACGATCCTTTAGAATTCCTTAGGCAAACACTTCTAAAAACTCCCTTATTAGAACTAAACCGATATCCAGTTGCGTTGAATTTTTAGTAATTTCCAAAATAATACCAATGTATAATATGAGCGTAGAGTTATTTGATCTCTTGTCGATTTTTATACTCCACTTGGTGATCAACAATGTTTCAATCACTCCGTTGTTAAGGATTGTAAAAGTCCATTTGATTAATCGTTTATTATATATTTTCCATTACTGTTCCCTCATCTTCTTTTTCTTCTTCTTTCTTCTCTCTCTACCTTAGTCAAGCATTCAAAATTGGATGATTGTTTTCGGTATAGCTGCAGGAATAGCATGGTTTGGTGCATTAATGAATTTATGGTTGACAAGCGGTGAAATTCAACCATGGGGTCGATTAACTTACATGAAAAATACTAATACTACTAATTCAGTGACTACTGATAATGGTGCACCAAAATTTCAAAATATTATTACCAATCAAAATGATAATCAATAATATCAACCCATTCCATACTAAATATTATCCATTAAAAACATTCTCAACCATATTGTTTCTCTTCAAACTATATTCAATTCTAATTATATTTTGAATGATTAATGTGAAAGAATGAAAGAATGATTCTTGAAAGAAGATGATGATGATGAAGAACAAGAACAAGAAGAACAAATATGATCACGATTAGTCTTCCTGTTTCCTCTTTTATCTTTTCAAAACTATCCTCAATTTTGTGGAAGATTTAATTATTTGAAATTTGGAGAGCCTTTTTTTTTATAAATTTTCCTTTCTGTAATTCTTTCTTTCTTTATAATAATCTAATGTCCTAGTTACATGTACATAAAATCCCGTTACTTAGTTGTTATTATTCTGCTTCACTTAGTGACTATTCAAATAATGAAAGATTCTTATTGAATACAATAAGTGTAACCATTGACGACATGTTTGTTTGTATACCTATTTGTCTGATTGTTTTCTTCTATTTTTTTTTGTATTTTTTAAAATCATGATTCATTTCAATTCATTGAAGAGTAATAAAATAATAATAATCATAGTAATGATAAACATCTATTTACATTAGAACACTGATTGTTTACAAACAGTTATGTATTTGTATATTGAGTAATTATTTTTTTTATATTAATAAAGTTGATTTATTCTTTTTCAGCTGATTACAATTTTGTTCCCTTTTTTTAATATTCATTTCAGTAGTATGTTATGAATCTTGAATCCCTCTAGTTTCCATTCATTCCTATTGATATATACTTGTGATTATCTACCATAAAATGGCTATTTTTGATTAAAGAAAAAATTTCGTTTAGTTTTTTTTTGTTAACTCTTTTGAGCTACTTATGAAATTTGATAGTAGTCTTATAATATATCAGCTTAGTTATCTGTTTCTAGTGTAGATCACCAACGTAAATGATGTCGAATGATTAGAGGTCTACTCGAGTTAGATGGAATTCGTGTGACGAACCAGATAACTTTGAAGTTACACTTCACGGTCAGCATCTAACATGGATTACACCTTCGACGTATCAAGGTACTATGGATACTTTGAAGACCGTATAACACAAAGGACGTTATTATGGAAATATATTAGTAAGAATGAGTACAGAGAGGATAACGAGACCACCACCACATGCGCCAGTCTATGAAATGCGATTAACTGATGCGTGTTGGTTGTCCTTGACCTTGACGGGGATTGATGATCTGTTCGATATTCGGTGACCCAACTACCGGATGATTTGGCTATGTCTCAGTGACATTTCACTGGCCCTACACTAGGAATATCATTTTATGATATATATTTTCTGGCAACTTCGTATGATTGATTACAGTTATGACAATTTTGTATGACTCATCAGGATTTATAAATAACTTCGCTGACGTCGTATTTACCGATTGGTCAATTGGATTTCGGCTTGTAAACAGGGAAGTTTGTTCGTCTTCCCAACAATGGGCAATTACTCTGAATAAAAGTTCACTTCACGTTACTTTATGGTTGTGAAATATGAAGTTTAAACATAAAAATTACGTTCAGAATACATATATTTGACCACGGTTTACGTCCCACGAAATATGAAACGAAGTATTACTAAGGTTAAGCGTACATTACCAAGTAGAGATTATAAGGCTGTATACTTTCGTCAACTTAAAAATTCAGACATGAGTTACGCATATTCACTTCCCAAATCAACGTGAAAAGTAGGCTAGTATAAAGTTGATTTTGTGTAAAGATAAGGATGGGAACATTTGGAATTTGCATCCGTCTACTAAGTCAGACCATTAATCACAAAGTGTAATCTATGTTTGTTAGTAATATGCTTCAAAACTGGTAACAGTAACAAATATAGATTATGTTTTGATCTCCTGCTAATAAAGAGCCAAACAATAAATATAAAAATATATTTAGTATCAGAAGAGGTTTTGTGGATATTATACTCATTTTAATAGTTGAGATCATGAATTAATTGAAGGTAGACCACCACGGTAAATCTGGAAGCACTGAGCACACGTTTCGTCCTATTGTGGGACTCCTCAACAGTGCTCATCCATAATCCCTCCTCGTGAGGTTTGAACCCTGGACTTATCGGTAGAATTCCAATAAGTAGAAAATTAGATTTCCGACGTTTTATGACACTGAAGTGATTGTCAAAGGAGTAAATAAGAAGAGACGAAAACCTCAAAATGTTTTGTCTCTCGGAAAACTCTCTTGGTTTTGTAAAAAGACCCTTAATATTTATTGATATATTATCATTGCTACTACTATTAATTTGATTGATCTATTACTATGGGTCTTGTTAATTTCTACTCGTAATTCTGATATACTATGGGAACTTGAACCTGTGCATTGGATAATTATGTTCCAGTTACAATGGATAAATGGATTAACTGAAACTTCAATGTGCTTAATTTTCTGTTGTTATTTTTTTAAGTCCTAAGATGAGCAATATATCCGTCTCATATTTGAATAACATCAGTTATTTAGTGTAAACTATATATCAAAGTGATTTAATAAATAGACATTTAGTGTGTTGTACAAAAAGATTTTTAGGAAATAAAAATTAAGAGTTCGTATTTTTAGTCGTTTCCATACCAATCACTCACTGTTCCTGTTCTCGTTTCCTTGATTTTCTTCACCTTCTGTCTCCAGGCACTCCACTTTTGATTGATGATACATACTACTTATATCTGTCGACATCAGTAGCACACATAATATAATATATTAGTAGCCTAAATAAACAATGATTCGATTTCAAAGTAGTATCTTAAGTTGTAGTTAATGATCTATTGAATACAACACAAATATGATAATTCTGGTTGTCGATTATTGACTGTCTCCAAAAATGCAGCAGTACTGTCGGGCCTAGGAGAGTGTGTTCTAACTATTGTGACGTCTTCATATGACCTCACTCTACTGCCAGAAAAGCCATACTGCCTTATCATAGCGGGTTGTATTTTACGAAACTGAGAGGACGAAAAGCGAATATTCAACGCTTAAACTGAATTAGTGGTCACGGAGCATTCAGCTAGGGTAGCTGGAAAATCCTGTTTCCAAACCAATGATGCACATGGGCTTCAGAATCCTGAGAGGACTAATCGAGTGTGAACCTATTTTTCCTCACCGGCTACTGTAGGACCGTTAGTCACTATACATCTTTGCTTATATGCCCACTAATCTTAATTATTCCGCTTCGTGTACACTACGTCTTATTGCTATATGTTAGGATGTTATCGGTATGAATTATAACTTTAAATCCTAATCTTAATCCCTCATACTAATTTATTGGCCTCTTTTGACTCTAGTAATTAGATGAGTTGTCTCAAGATCACTTCGCTTCGTTCAAATATCTTTCATAAATTATAGTCTCATCAAGATATATAACAGTTTGACAGCTTACTTTCGCGATGGTGTCATATATTTTCAATAAATCTTATCTTTGTAGATAATAGGTAATAGTAAACACGGATACTAATCTAGATTCCCTGAAAGATGTGAGGTAAATGGAAACTAGTAATAATATTTGTTAATATCAGTTCATTAGAATGTATTTATAACATGTAAGTCGTGTTGAAACGAAACTGCAAATGATATGAGCAATGTTTGCTGCAACAGAAGTAGGTTGGAAAAATTTAAGGAGTAGCCAAACTAAGATAGCATAAGTCCATGACGTTTTTGACATTGACCTAAGCCTTCTGGTTGATGCAAACTACCTGATCCAGTTTAGCGAGATAACCATGATAGTTGACTGAAGATTTTGAGTGAAATTGTTCATAACTGTACATAACAGTCCAAATGCATTTATTGTTTATCTCCCCCTAGATCTTGAGCTAAAGTAGTCCTTTCTACATACATCTCCACTCTGTCTCTTCGTTTCTTTATTTTTAATGTTCAGTCTTTTACACTATTTTAACTCCTTTAATATTGATGTTGTTAACTTCATATCACCGTATCATTGTGATAAAAGAACTTCGGATAGTGTACATCTGTATCCGGCTCAATGTTGATTATATCTAACTGACTAAATCTGAATTATATAAAGTTTTACAACATGTAATGATGAAACTACGATCATTTTCTGAAAATAAAATTCATTTGCTAACTTATGCATTTATCGGATAGTGTATTGGTACGACCGAAGGTGGGGAGGGAGAGTCAACTCTCCATCTCCAAATGGCCACCCATATGCAGCCACTAACACAGAAGTCCTACTCACTGCATTCTCGCCACAGGGGTGTTGTCTACGAAATTGAGAGGATGAAAACCGAATGTCCGGAGATTTAACCGGGTTAGTGGACACGCACACTCCATTTAGGGGAGTTGGAAAACCCTCATTTCAAACCAATGGTGTACATAGGCTGGCTCTAGGATCCTGAAAGAACAAATGGAATATGAACCAATTATTGGTCATCGGTTGTCATGAGATTGCATATCCTGAAGTTGCTTCACTGTTTTATGAATCAGACCGGGTGTAGCCCCCTAAGAAAACCACCTGAATAGTATCACAACCCATACACAAATCAATTGACTTGTGTAATGCATCTGTATGCAGACCCCTTTTGTTCAAATATAATAAATAAGTTGACATCCATACTCCACATTAACTGATACCAATTTGAATTAGTCAAAATACGTAGTTGTTCACTTTAATGTTTTAATTTATTTTACTTAATCAAAGAAGAAAACTTGAAAAACCGATATGAAACTACAATATTGAAAGAAAAAATTCTGGAAAATATACAGTTTTCAATAATAATAGGCGGGTGTTTTTCGATCATTCTTTTTTTACAGGAAACAATATCGACTCATACTTCGTAAATTATAATACAACTGAAAATATTTTCTTGATAATTGAATAGCTGAAAATACAAACAACAAATACAAATAATATTAACGGAGAGGGGTTTTGTGGATATTATAGTCATTTTAAAAGTTGAATTCATGAGTCAATTGAAGATAAACCACCATGGAAAATCTGGAAGCACTGGATGACTGTTTCGTGCTAGTATATGGGACTCCTCAACAGTGCGCACCCAGGATCCCGCCTCGCCAGATTCGAATCCATGACCTATCAGTCTCAAAACCACTGGTGAGGAGTTCCATCCACACTAGGACGAAACAACCGTCTATTGCTTCCAGGTTTTCCATGGTGGTCTAGCTTCAATAGACGACTTCATGAATTCAAATATTAAAATTACAAATATTATTGACTGACCAAATTGAAATATTATAACTACAGAGCAAGCATTTAATCATATATTTGTTTTGTTTCATATGAATGATGGATTGATCATGTGTTATGAAATGAATTCAATTGATTTCAATTGAGTGAAAAGATATTTCTTTCAGTTCCTTATAGTCATATAAAATTTTAGATAGAAATTTTTTCATTGAGATCCTGAATGGATTCAAGATAGATCAAGACTGAAAACCTAGAAGCACTGGATAGAAGTTTCATCACAGTATGGAAGTCTTCAACAGTGTTTACAGGTTCTCAACTATGGTATAACTTAGACCGATTCAACCTTTAAATAAAATTCAATAATCTTCACGAACTTATACTTGAAGAAACTGATTAGAACGTTAGTCTTGTAGTCCATATTGTGCACTGATTTTTGATCTTAGTTAGTCTTTGTGTCAAACAAATCTATACCATCCATGTGCTAAGTGATAGGCTGTGCAACACCAAGGATACCGTGTGTTTGTGCTCATATACCGTCACAAAGCTAAGCGATAAGAAATGGATAACATTAAAGTATACGTTATTAGATGAAGCTGAATATATACTTAGTTAAGGTCTGAAACCTTATGCCATTGTTCATGTCAGAAGAACAGATTCATATGTACTAGTAAATTGTGTATACCTTATTCGGTTTGTCAATTACAATTTCCTAGTTATTTACGGCTTTCCCACTTCCATAGAATTTTGGGCCAGTATATAGATAGGGTATGCAAAATTATATGAACCGGACAACAGTGTAACTTGATGGAATTACTCCTAATTATACAGTTGACAAAGTGTATTTTGTAATCATATTAGAACTTTAATAATAAGTTAAGAAAGAGAATCTGAACTCTTCGTATCGATGAGATTATTAATTTATTGGATACTTCCTCATGATTTTTACGATCTGTCTTCTTCAATTCTAATTGGATTGAAAATATTCAGTTGAATAACATCAGTTATATGTATTTCGACCACATAAATCTGAAGTAAATAAGATTTAATAGGGAGATATGTTCTTTTATAGTTTAGTTAATAGACTACTAAAATCGATATCCTATACACTGATGAATGAAATTAAGAATCAAGTAAAATTACTCAAACTTAATTACCATTTATTTATTTTATTTTAACACATAGACATTGGTACAAGGAGGCACCAAATACATATGCGCCACACAAATCTCATCCAATATGTGTGAAGGCTGTGATACTGCCCCGGTGCCCAAATCGAAGCAGGTGGTTTTCTTAGGGGGCCACTCCCCGAGCCTTCGACCTGAAGGTCTGATCCACAAGGCAGTGGAGCATCGTAAGGAGATGCAGTTCCATGGAAGCCGGTGACCAACAATTGGTTCATACGCCATTTGTTCCCTCAGGATACTGGAGCCCATGTGCACCATTGGTTTGGAATCCGGTTAAAGCGCCGAACATTCGCTTTTCGTCCTCACATTCTCGTAAACAACACCCCTGGTGTGAGAAGGCAATGAGTAGGACTTCCCTGGCAGAGGCTATATACGCGTGGCCATGTGAGAGCATTTCGAGAGGGAGAATGGACTCTCCCCACTCTCGGCCGTACCAGGACATTTGGGGGCAAACCATTGTCTATAAGCAGCTAGTTTAACAACACTTCATATTAATTCACTTGGTGTTGTTTTACTTGTATCTTCCGATTGTTATTTAGGACTGCAATTGATCAGTCTCATTTTGGCGTATGTGCATCACATTAAGGTTCATATTAATTCTTACACTAACCATTGTCATCAGTGAGTTACTATCTCACAACAGACATATTTGAACTCCACTGGTGAGGAGTCTCATACTAGGACGAAACAACCGTCCAGTGCTTACAGGTTTTGTTATATCCGAGCGAAGATTAAATCACGAGTAACTTCTGAGACATATTAATTGACTAATGTTATCTATATATTCTTATGGTATATTTATATGTATATTTATATTTCTCTTATTATAAGCTTTATTTTGACCTATAATTTATTATTGTACGATTTAATGTTCTTAATCTATAGTCAGTTTATTGACTACTGTCTCCCACGTTCACAGTCACTTTTTGGTTTTATTGTGTACAAATGTTATTTCCTATTTTATGGTGCGTTGCGATATGTATGGTTAATGTATAAACCCAGTATGTCTGAAATAAATGGTTCGATTCAATTCGCATAGTGGAAGCTGGTACTAGTGTTCTGGACTCAAGTGGATGGACTAGGCGGACATAGGACCATTAAGGACGCTAGGCTGCTCATACCGGTCGAACGTCATTGGTTTGGCACAGTGCTAAGATTTTATAAGTCGTATTTTGATTGATGGATAAATCACGTGATAAAAAGCCGGACATAAAGTCACAACAGGTTTTCCATGGCGGTCTAGCTTCAATTGACTCATGAATCAAACTCTTAAATTACTATAATATCCGTCTCACGAGATTCGGATCCACGACCTTTATTAACAACTATTTAAATAATTAATTAATAGACATAATCATGAATATATAATACAATATTATTACTGCTTACTTGAATGATATTCATCGGATTTATCAAAAGGTAATGGAAATCTTAATGGAGTAGGAAAAAAGTACTCTGGTTTTACATGTGCATTAAAATGTATTAATTTAGCATTTGGATATTGTAATACAATATCGTCATGTAGTGTTTTTTTTCGTATGTAATTATTATTATTATTATTATCATCCCTATTCAGTAAAAATTCCCATACAACTGGACAACGTTCACGCATTGAAAATGCACTTAGTTGAATATTCCATTTACAAGGTATCTCGTATAACCAATGTTTATTTTGATTCAATACAGCGTTAATAACATCCTGTAAGAAAAAAGCATTTGGGCAATGAAACTATCATTTGAAAATGGTTACAGTAATTATTTGACTTATGCATAAAACTGTTACAGGATTGAGATATATATGTTGTAGTCGAAGTCTTAATTAACTGTAATGAGAATGAACTGCCAAATTCAGTTACCTATGAAACTTAAAAATATTTTATACACATATTTGCTAGATTCGGTTCCTAAGCTCTTCTAGTAACCCCTAGGTTAAATCAATACAGCGACTTGAATACCAGAGAAAAGGTGCGAAATATGGAATAAACGCTTTACTCCAAAAGTTTGTTTACTTACAGAAAATCTAGGGTTTTTATAGTATTTTAGATGGTCTTGGGTTTCCAGAAAATTCTGGAACCCTACTATACATAGTTGCAGTATAGATAACCATCCAATCAGAAACGCGATATGTGACTTTTAACTTTCTAGATGGTTCTGGCAAAAAGTCTACTGAATGCTAAGTGTTTTCAGAGCTGTTTTTGACTTTTTCGAGAAGTTTTCTAGATCTCCCCAACAATTTGAATGTGCAGTTTAACAGAAATTGGTCGCCAAGTATGTAGAAGATATTATTTGTCGAAACGATTGAAACGGTTGAAATGTATTCGATTCTAATGTTCTGTCCACAAAACGTTTCCGAAATTCTTCAGAGTAATAATCAAATCAAAATAATTTTTGTAAATAATGTTTTAATCATGGTTCTTTTTCAATTAATAGTTTGTATATAAACATGCCATTTTACTAGAAGTAACTTATTCTTCTGGGTAAGAATCTTATCTAGATGTCAGTTTAATTCAGAGATTACGCCAGTATTTAGGTTTTGTAAGCAATTATTACTCGGCTATACTGTATCACGACGTATTATCAGTCGATAGAAGCAAATCGTTCATTGATGTAAAAACTCTTCAAATATCTTTTCATTACAGATCCGGCAATCCAATTGCATAACACTGTAGTTAATATTCATGTGTACTCATGAATAAGGAATATACATGTAAGAGGGATTTTACTTTCTATTCACTGAAAATCTTGTATAACATAAAACTTATCACCATTTCTTATCACATTCTATAGTCGTTATATTAAATAAAGACTAATTAACGATAAGGATGATGTGGTGCGATAAATCTCTCTAAGGTCATACAATTTGGTAATAGTATTATCTTAACTACTAATACACACTTCTGATAGCTAACCAGTTCAACTATACGGACAAATATCCGAGTATATTAAAATTATCAACTGACAGTCTGATAGAGTTTAGACATTTCATGTATTTGTGCTGACATCCGTGTCCAAGTCAAACAGTAAGCGTGAGAATATCAACAAATCTTGCTATTGGAAGATAATGATTATTAATGCAGTCAACATCTCAGCCTGTATTTTCTTGTCTCGGTTAAAAAGACCTACGCTTCCATTTTTCACTTTTAGTTTCCTAGTCATTTCTAAGTTTTCTAACTCACACTAGTCGTTGGGCAAGCGAAAAGCTCACGTATCTATATCTAAATTAAACAATCGTGGGAATGTCACCAATAATTAGTTTAATTCAAAGAGAGTTCTGGAGGATCTTTCGAAATCAAATGACATTAGATAACTGTGTGATACTGAACAAGAAAATTAAAACAAAGACCTTCAATTCTTGAAATCTAAACACAGTGAACTTTGATCATATAAGTCATATGTGTCTGTATGACTGGAAGCTGCTAAACGTTTGAAGATTACCATTAATTAGTGATTATCTATTGTTCCCTAAACTGGGATATATTTCTATCAACTGAAATCAAGTACTGTGTTTCAATTAATTTTAATATTTTCGATGATATTTAGCAAAGAAACAATCTTCACGATCCTCTACTCAAGTATTAAAAATACATTTTAAAAATACACCCACATAGATATACATGCTACAAATAAGAGAGAAGAATTTCAAATATTTACTGTACACAGTTCTTGGGTTAATCAGCACTCATTAGTCAAGGGTATTTAAAGTAATAAAATAAAATGTACTATTTGACAGATTCGAACTCGTGTCAACCACTGTTATAGTAATGGAGGTTTTTTTTAAGTACTTGAGTGGTGGGATTGTAGTGAACAAGATCATTGTGGGGATAACCATATGCAGTTTAATGTAACATTACAGAATCTCTTAGTAAGATCTGAGAAGTATACAATAAATACTTCATTTGCAAAATATCTATCATTTATCTCAGACTACGTTGTTTCTTCGTTTCCATACTAATCAAGCTCTGTTCTCATTCTCCTCTCTTCAATCTTCTTAACCTTCAGGCATCAGGTATTTCACTTTCGATCGATGCTACATACTACTTATATCTGTCGAAATCAGTAGCACATACCATGAATTAGGTAATGCAATTAGCTGACATACAGCCATCGATTAATGTAATTGGTTAAAATTTTAATTGAATTAAAACTGTTATAATTGATCCGTGTTTTACATATATGTACTCATTTGCATATATTATAGAGAATGGTACGATATGTTGCATAATATTCTATTACATTTGGTTTTAATCGATCAAATAGTTAGCTTGTGTCTCAGTTAATTAACTTACAGATCAGTGGTTAATTAAAAACAAACAAATTATGTGATACCTTAGGGGCCACATGATAAGAATGATGTAAGTGTGGGTACGGAACAATCGTGAATGAATTATTCATTTGATGGCTCTGTATCTGACTCCAGTTAAATCGTATGGTGATTGTTATCGAAATAAACATGCCACCAAGCGTCGTACATTTTTGAAGACTTAACTCACATTAGAGAATAACGGAATAAAAGGAGACAAATAGGAGAATGAATTGTAAACACATATATTTCGCACACTTGTTGATCCGGAAAGACAATCAGAAAAACTAAGGAAAGGAAGCGAAACTTGGCGAAGTGATACGCAGAGCAGATGGTGAGTGAACCAACCCATTTTGATCAACTATGACTTAATATTTATATCCAAACAAAAATAAATTATAGACACGTAATGAATAGGGCAAGCAATTAACATACATACGGTCATATAAAAAGTCAGCGTTATTAAGCGAATAATTGGCAAAGTCAAAATATGGCTTGAGAAGAATGAATTTATTGGTCCGTCTAGAAGCTCGAATAATCTATATGGGCTTGATATAGTATCAGCCACTACAATATCACTTATTTGTAGTCAACTAAATCATTTTTATCACTGACTCATACTCATTTCTTTTACATATGTAACCTTTTTCCTAACATATTCGAGAATAGTCAAAAGTTAAGAGACAATACAAAATACTTGAATAAAACTGAAGTTCATTTGATGAAAAACCTAATTGACCTCGTTTTCTGTAAAAATCAATGTTTGCATAAACTGAATCTTCTTTTTTTATTTTTGTAAACATCAGATATCTTACTTCGAGTAATCTGTGAAAATAACATCGTTCTTAAGAACGAAAGGATTTTTCTTTTGTCTACCACAATGTTATTGTTATGAAGTAGAATTTGAAAATAAATAGTTAATTGAGTTATTGGATTGCTAAATGGATTGGATACAATACCGATGATCGATTTACGATATACATTGACACTATGTGGCCAAGTGATAGCTAATCATGTGACTGTAATATTAATGATGTAAGTTCTTGAATGAACTGATATGGGAGACAATACCACTAGTCAGTAGAATAAAATCAATTGCTTATTTACAAAATATTAAATACAAGAACAAAATGAAATGTCATAAATAGTTGGACAAGATTAGTTTTGTAGATTACATTCTGTTCAATGAATTATCTTTTAATTGAGCAACAATGCCGGGATGTTTGGGATGCGTTACCCCCCCCCTCAAAATGAAAGTTGTTGTTCCAGGACTGGCCTACGTCAACACCTGAACTAAGGAAAACTTCACTTATCTTTGAATTCTTATCAGCCCTAATGGGTTGGTGTCTGACGAAATTTCAGCACGGATTCAAAAAGCTCGTTTGGTTTTTTTCCAATTTAAGTCACCTATGGCGAAGGCGAGATATCCGTCTATCAATTAAGGTACCAGTATACCGCGCAGCAGTTCGTTATTTTCTACTTTACGGCTACGAAACCGTGACCGTTAAGAGAAGATACTCATAGGTTACTAGTATTCGATCGCAGATGTCTTAAAAATATTGCTCGCATCTGCTGGGATCACCGGGTAAGTAATAGTGAGGTTAGATGCAGGGTATTAGGGAGTGATGGTAAATCAATTGATGAGGTTGTAAATCTTCATCGACTAAGATGGTGGTTGGGCCACGTCTTACGTATGCCTGACACAGATTACCACGACGTTCAATGCTAACTAGTGTTGGAGACGGCTGGAAGAAAGTTAGGGGCGGCCAAACCAAAACGTGGCATCAATGCTTGAAGTCACTAACTTCTGGTTTAAGCCATGTTGGTAGATGCAGACTACTTTGCTGGGGTCATGTAAGATCAATCTGTAAACTTGTAGTAAACAGTATCCTACAAAAATCTAACTTCGATACGAGGGCGAGATTATAATTTGTGGATGAACCAATCAGATTTAAGATAACAGATCTTGGGTTTTGCCACGAAATTTATTCATTCATTTAGCTAAATAGTGTTTTAGCATTATAGCTTATGCCAATTCATAATGAAAACCCTAAATCTAATTCCTAACCCTTAACCATCAACTGTAAATCATAATTCTAATTCATCACAGTGGTTTAAAACCCTCATTTACCACTAGTACGTAGGTGAACACTTTCAAGGTCGTCTTAGTATCGCTCAAAGACCGTCCATAAATTATAGTTTCACCATTCAATTTTTCACCAATTACATGAATTTATCAAAATGATGAGTGAAACAAATTGTTCACGTGGTATCTCAAGGCCAAACGATAAAATAGATGTTAAATAAGGTATGTTATTGAGACAAATCATTTTTAAGGTCATAGCATACAGATCTTTATCTTCATGAAAAAGTCATATATATATTGATGATTTGTATAAACTTTATTCAATTGTCATATGAAACTTCATAGTCATTTCTTAATCTTCTCATTTATACAACTATATAGACAAATTCATCTCTGTAGCATGATTATCTTGTAGGGTCAGTGAAATGTCACTGAGACATAGCCAAATCATCCGGTAGTTGGGTCACCGAATATCGAACGGATCATCGATCCCTGTCTAGGTCAAGGACAACCAATACGCATCAGTTAATCGTATGTCATAAATTGGCGCATGTGGTGGTGGTCTCGCTATTCTCTCTGTACTCATTCCTACTAATATATCTCTATAATAACGTCCTTTGTGTTATACGGTCTTCAAAGTATCCATAGTACCTTGATACGTCGAAGGTGTAATCCATGTTAGATGCTGACCGTGAAGTGTGACTTCGAAGTTAGCTGGTTTGTCAAACCATTCCCTTCTAACTCGGGTAGACCTCCAATCATTCGACATAGATCATTTACGTTGGTGATCTACAATCTGTACCTAAATTAAACTAACATAAAAAAACACACACAAAAACAAGAACGCATCTATAACTAGTTTCCATGACTTATTAATTAATGAATTAATCTGTTGCTTACTTGTTCACCAGTTGGTAAAATGCGTTTTTCTCTCATTAAATTGAATGCAGTTTTCATCCAAATTTCATCCCAACCTCTTGCTCGTAATTTAGTTAAATGAATTAATAAAATACCAGCATTATAACCGTAACCCTTTATTTCATTGTTGTTGTGAGTTGTGTTTGTTTTTCCAGTAATGTTTGTGAGAAATTATAAAAAAAATATAAAGAATTAACTGAAAATATTCATTTAGTACAATGGTTAAAGAGATTGCCGAATTTCACTGAGATAACCATTGAGAACTTGTAGTGATTAAACAATTGTTTTGTTGTAGTATGTGGCTCTGTAGAAGTGAGTATCCAAGACCTTAAGGTCTCTTTCGAGAACATTTAGATAAGAGCAGTACACCATGAAATCATGATTCGACGATTAGGTTTTTACACTTGATAATGAAGATGTTGAGTTCAATCCTAAGTGACGGAATAGTGAGCTTATACTGTTAAGAAGTCCTATATTAGGACGAAACGACCATCCAGTGCTTACAGGTTATCGATAGTTATCTAGCTCTAAACGAATAGGTTAAATTTTTGATTATTGGTATGAATGTAATATGACATTTTCACAAGCCATATAAATTATTTGATGTATTATGTGATAGGGAATAGAATCCTCTGCCGATATGTATCAAAATATAGGACAAAACAATTACAAAATGCTTTTTATAGTCAATATAAATGTATTAGAAACTATCTCGCACATACATCAACATACCAAAGTACAATCTTTCAATAAATGGCATCATGCACACTGGTTATGGACTTTTATCTGCATGTAGATCTTGTGATAATGGTACTACTCTCCAACATCATTTTTTTATTATCATAACTATAAATCAGTTTATTATTGAGGTTTCTGTTATAGCTTGTGGCCTTGTGTCCTATGAATATATAAACGACCGAACCAGAGACGCGTAAAACCGTACGAACAATCTAGAGTCCATATCGGTCCTTCTTCCTGCCTAGCCCTGCCTATTGAGTTCAGAACACCAATCTCAGCCTCCGCGATATGAATAATATATTTCGAACATACTGGGTTTATATAAAAACCAAACAGACCACATCACACCATAAAATAGGAAACAACATTTGTACAAGATTTGGCCAAATGTGGCTGTGATTGTGAGAGACTGTAATTAATAAACCGGGCATAACTTAAGAACAGTAAGTCGTATTATAATAGTCTATAAGTCAAAATAAAGCTTACAATAAGAGGAATATGAATATGCTTAGTTAAGCTACTTAATAATTATACAACAAAATTATATGTATAGCATTAGATCATTAGTAGATCCCAACAGTTCATTATTCTCGTCGAAATGCATCAGTTTCAAACTGCCTATAGTTTTCCACGTAACAGGTTTTATTCAATATTTACATTGAAATTAACAATATATGACTTCTTATGCAATACTAAGTATTAAATGTTTCCGAAAATTATTGTTAGTCAACTAATCTGAATCAATGATTGTACAAATGAACGCACTGTTCTACTATCACTATCTGGAGAACAAGAACTCAGGTGGAGACAGTCAATCGATTGCTTAATTGCTTAGTTGTTTGATAAACTGTGGAAACCATACATTGAATACTTCATTTGCAAATCCTCTATCAATTGTTTCAAACTTGGTTGATCTTTTATCGATATTACAATTACTCAATGTTCATATTCCCGTTCTCTTTAATTTGATCTTCTCAACCAGGCATTCCACTTTTGATCATGTCTATCGACATGAGTAACACACCACAACTACATACTTATACATATGAAAGAAAGTGAACAGATCAGCTTTCATGAAAGAAATGTTAGTTTAATTATTTTAAATATAATTTCATATGTAGCGATCCATGATGTCTGGTACTATGAATGCTTACGACATCAACTTCCTACTAACTAAAAAAATAAATAAACTTTTACTAATATACAAATCGTGAACGTGAAACATGCTGAGAAATAGGAATCAGATCAAAGCTCTGATTTTTAGTTACTTTCCGTCTAAGTACTCATATTTTATATTCTATAGTTGACTAGAGTCAATTTCAATGATGATGAGTCGCTTTATCACAAGGTGATATTCAATACAAGTAGATAATAGATAAACAATCACTGGAAAGTATTTTATACTAATTAGTTATCCATGTTTATTTGATGGTATCACAATTGATTAAGTGGACACATTATATATTTAAGAATCTCTCGGTGAATAAGAATAATTCCTGTATTATGTGGAACAATTCAAATGCACTACACTATATTGTGCTTAAGAAGACATAACTATTTATTATAGGGTTAATAAATGAATACTTATTCCCATTTACGATAAATTTAACGTAAAGAAATATATATAGATTCATCTGTATATTCACTTTATAATCGAACCTACAAACAGTGATCCAATCAAAAAATCTAGACTTACCAATGCTGGCCAAAACCTTTTTCCCATATTGCTGTAGAAAGTTGGATTCTGTTCCGCGGCAATACCGATACACTATGAAATTATTTAAAAGTAGGAGATTTTCAAATTGTCTTGTATACACAAGAACGAGGAGAGGAAACAAACGTCAATAAAAATAATATTCAACATTCTGATTTTCAGTAATGATTAGTCCAAGTCAATAATCTTTTAACGATAAGTAAGTCCTAAAAAATACACAGTTCAGTAGATGTTCAAAGTATGATTCTAGGTTTGTCAATTTTATTGAACTAAAATAATTGGAAATAGATTAACAAACTATATAGTGAGCTTTGGCATCTTGTCATACTCCTCGTGTTGATGTGATCAGTTCTTCAGCTGGTCTACTGAAACATCTCTCTCTCTCTTTGCTTAAATAAACCTAAAGCTATCTTGCTTTCTTTGTTGGCTAAGGTTGATTAAGTGATCATGAAGTGTTGAGATCAGATATATTGAAACTTTGTTATTAGCATTATCGACATTTTCTAACATCCAACTTTTGAGGCTATAATGATTCCATGAAGTGTAATTAATATTATGTAACATATCCTAAGGTTTTTTCACAATAAACATTTTATGATTCATTATTCGCAATTAAATTTGTTTGTTAACAAACTTAATTCTTAACATTTTTTCAAAGTGAATTTTACATAACGTTTTCACATTCTTGTGATATGTGGTAGTGACAGTAAAATGTGATCGGTCATTGGAGATGGATAAACATGCACTTATTCTATCGAGTGTTACCTTGTGATTTCCCTTTTCTTCCAAACCCACTGAGAGTGATAGCTTGGAATTGTGTGGAATAAAGTATTATCTACATTGACTATAGTTCTCTATTCTTAGTTATGAATCGTTTATCTGATATAACATGAACTAATCTCTGTATTGTGTACCGTTCAAGTATCCAACCTTGCGTAGCGTAGTATACAGTAGAAAGAAAGAGAGAAGAATATTTCAAACCATCCGTTATATCATCTTGGCAACATTTGGTAAATGAAATCAACATGGAATATGCATACAGCGCAATTAAACTGTTGATTTCCATTAACTTCTTTATAAGGTAGAAAATGATTACTATGTATGATTTTATTATTTTTTTCATTTTAATTTGACATGATCCGTGCAGAATAGAAGTTGATGAATAGATATGAATAGTCGTTGAAATGATCTCCATTTAACAATTGTCTATAACTGCATATTGTTAAGTGTCTTCGTTCAAATATTATTAAAATTTAACAAACAGATAAAACAATTAATTGTATAAAATTTACTGTTACAAAAAACTATTATGACCAATGGAGTCCAATCCGTGTCGGATAGAGACAAGTATCTACCATAGACAATGGATGAATGGTTGCGCAGCCATCCATGGATCGATAGAAGCTAGACACTAACACCATCGGATGCCAGCTCAATGGCCTATAGGTTAAGTGTTCTCGTATGAGACCGAAGGTCCTGGGTTCAAATTTCAAGTGAGGGATCATGAATGCGCACTGCTTAGGAGTCTCATACTTGGACGAAACGATCGCCCAGTGCTTCCAGATTTTCCACGGTGTTCTAACTTACATCAACTTATGAATTCAACTATTAAAATAACCATACGAAAAAATTACTCTAATGATTAAGTTATTCTTACTTGATCCTTGCTGAACTCATCAAATATGCTCCATAGATTTGATATATCATCATTCAATAATATATCTGCATCCAGTACAATAACCTAATTTTTTTATAAAAATATACGAAATAAAATGATTTCGGTTAATATTCATTATTGAAATAAAGAATTAGTTTGCTATAATGAACAGTCAAAAACCAAATTGAGATCAAAATATGAGCATTCACGTCTCGAGGATAGAATGATGAGCGAGTTTAATATCATCAGTGGGTAGCTGTTTGACCAAGTACATAGCCATTTTGTTATTCATTACATTATAAATTGTTGTTGTATTTGTATAGTGATTAGTTATGTAGAAAAATAAACATGGTGACTATAGTTACATCAACTAAGAAATGAACGTATTCCACCTAGAGGATTCTTTATCAGCATACAAGTGGAACTGAAAGAAACAAGTTTAAAGCTGATAAATCATCAAACTGACGTCTTTAAACAAAAGATTGTTGTGTTATATTGTCTTCTGTTCATGATTAAACATTATGAATTTTAAAACATAAAGTAAACATTTTGTATAATGGTCGGATCGATTCGATACTGTTATATACAAAGAAGAGTAAAGGAATGGTGACTTCCAGGACTAATTTATGGACTATTGTTATACATATATTTTCATTGTATAATTATAGAGCAACTAGATTATCATATGTATTTATGCTTTTTATCATGAGCTTTCATTTGACTCATTAACTACTGTTATATGATATATTGTTCCTCATTTGCTTCCAGTCTATTACTCACATCTTCCTTTATTCACAGCCATTTTCTAGATTGATCATGTACAATTGTTATGGTATGTCTTTATATAAACTACACATCTTTGAAATATAATATTCGTGTAGTGGAAGCTGAAAACTGTTATTCTGGTCTCGACGGGTAGGGCAAAGAAAAAAGCTAGAAAATCCTAAAACAATTAGATCTCAACCTGCGATCCGAGGTCACTGGTGCTGAACGGATTCCGGTTGGTGTTTTTGTCACGTTATATTGGTTAGCGGCTATAAATCATAACAGACACAACAATAAAATGGCCGAAACGACAGAGATGACCGTCACATATCTCTACAATCCTGAATACTAAAATATTTTTTGTATCTTTCTAAAATAATATGCTTAAACCATTAACAAACAACTTTTATTGCTTACTTTCTTGATTTCAGTAGGTAAAATTTGTGTAATTAATAATTTGAGATAACTTTTATGTCCAGCGTAATGTCCAGATTTAAATGATTTGACCCGTGTCTGATAAAAAAAGAATAGTAAAAATAGTGATAATCCATGTGTAGTCTGAAATAACAATCGCCAAAATAAGCACCCTAAATCAGCTCGATTAATGCATATATAACAATAAAGCACCGTGAATTCACTATTTGCTTGCCTTTTCGTACACCATCTTTCCTACTAATTAATGTTCAATAGACAAAGGTATCAGTGCCAAGGATGGACCTGATAGTTTCAAATAAATTGAGTATCAGATATAAGGTTAATAATAAATATATTTTTTGTTGTATCCCAGTGGGGAGGAAAAAATTGTATTTCTGAGGCTCCGTAACTTGATGTAAGCCACTTTTTCAGAGAATAAATAATCAAATATATATATATATATATATATATATATATATATATATATATATATAGTTTTATTTATAACAATCTACCCCAGTGCTTTGGTATTGATACCTACTAACTTCATAAATGTTCCTACATAACCTTCATGGCACATGTTGAAAATCAGACTGATGAATTAATCGGAAACATGTCACTTTATAAGAGATATGTGGACGATATCTTAGTTGTTTGTGAAAAAAAGAGGATATTTACTGTTTACTAAATAAACTTAACACTCTCCAAAACCATATTAGTCTCTCATGTGAAGAGGAGAAGAACGATCAGTTTCCCTTCCTAGATATACTTCTGAGTAGACGAGAAGATGGCTCAGTCAAGCGATCTATTTTTAGAAAACCAACGCGGACAGGTCAATATATTTGTTATTATAGTTATTGCCCTGTGCAATACAAACGTGGTTTGATAAGGTGTCTTTTCAACAGACTCGACCGTATTTGTACCAATGACGCCATTGATGATGATGTTAAGTTGTTAAATAAAACGTTAATAGAAAATGGCTATCCTCTGAAATTCATAAATAGATGGAAAGTCCATGGTACAGCGAGACCTACTGTAGCCTCGGTAGAGAAAAAGCCTGTCTACATCACCTTACCATTCAGAGGTGATTCAAATAGCCTTTTATTGAAACAACGACTTAAATCAGTCATCAATAAAACCTATTGCGCAGCAAAGGTCATCATCAAAGAAAGAACAAGGTGCATGCTTCATTCAAAACCTAAAGTACATGGAAACGATTGCGTCACATTCCACTGTGTTTACCAATTTAAATGTGTGTGTGGTCACACATACATAGGGAGGAGTAATCGTGATCTCAACATTAGGGTGAGTGAATATGTACCCAAATACAAGTGACCCAATAAGAGCAGAGGATCATCATCCATCATCCTCTATTGCTAAACATATAATTGAAACAGGTCACAAGATTGATCTAAATTCAGCTTTTGTAGTGCTGTATAAAAGTGTAGTAGGGCGTATACTAAGGTTTATTGAAGCCTTAGCCATACGAAAATTCAAATCCCCTTTAAGTGTTCAAAAACAGTTTGTTCTTACCTTAAACCTACCCTGGTAATATTGACTTATTATTCAGAGTGATTAGGTTTCGCTTTGTGTTCACATTATTATTATTATTATTATTATTATTATTATTATTATTATTATTATTATTATTATTATTAATATTATTACTCTTATCATTATCCTTATCTCCTCTTACCCCGTTTCCTGTCTAGTTGACCTTTTATTTTTATATATAAATGCTCTTAACAAGTATATGTGTGACCAGATTGTTCGAAATGTATTGCGCTAATATATCACATAGTTCTGATAATCTTTGTATTTTATGATTGCCTAATTTCGGCATAAATAGCTCACGGACTCTAATTAGCATAAAAAGTGCTACTGAAAGATCGATTAGACTTTCAACAGTCATTCAGATAACAAATTTGAACTGTAGATAACAACAGCCAACAACACGGTTTTTAGGTACCGTTGTAGTGAACAAAGACTTCAGGTAATGAAAGTCACTTTATTGATTGACGCGAAATTACTGAGTACTTACGTAAAATATGAAAATCATTTATGAAATACATTATTTACATGTCTTCTTTGTGTCGTCCTTGACATACTTCATGATTCTTTCAATTCTGTTAATATTACAATTGCTCTTTGTTTACAGTTCTGTTCTCTTCAGTTTAATCGTTTGCTGCCAGTCATTTCACTTCTGGTTGGTGTTACATACTACTTGTTTGTTAACATAAGTAGCAGATTCCACACTGTTTCTCGGGCTTTAAATAGCCATAAATTGCCTATATATCTCATTAGCTGATTTGACAATGTTCTAAACAAATCCAACATTTAGTACACCTAGTCAATTCTAAAGTAATTAATTATGTCAACTTAAAAACAACAACTTTTAATGACAGGTTTTGTGATGTTTGGGCGAGAATGACAATGATTGGTTGTCTGTTTAGTCGACATGTAGATAGTCTGACAGGTGTCAGATGAGTTAGATATATTCCCTTATCCTTATTATTATAATTACTCATATATTATTGATTGTTCACTGTTGTTGGATTGTGTCGGGTTTTGGTGTGAAAATATATTTACGTTGTGATCAGGCTAATCACATGTTCTTGATCTGAGTTGTGGTGAAGTCCTATACAATAAACAATGGTAGGGAATCTAGTGTAGATATTCGTCGGCGAGGCTCTAATTTATGGACGAGCCAATCAGAAGTATTTGGGATATTTCAAGGTCACGGCGCCAACTTCAGTGCTTAATGCTAACGTACGATCGGTTCACAAGGAATTTTGTACAAAACGTGATAATAGAGCGGCTATAACAAATAAAACGGCGAGACTTTAATTTGAGGAGGAATCAATCAGGTATAAGATAACAGATCTCAGATTTTGACGCGAAAGCCTTCCATCTACTTGGCTTAATAAATTTCTGGCATTATAGCTGATGTCAGTTCCTAAGGCAAATTACGACAATTATCGCGAACTGGATAATAAAAGCACCACTAACACTGGTTGCAGCCAGGTACTACAATATGTACGGATGTTTGGAGAGCGTACAGACTCCTACATAGGCTTGGTTATACGCATCGTATCGTTATCCACAAGTAGCATTTTGTGTACTCAACAACTGGAGTGCGCATAAACAATATTGAAACTATGTGGTCGAGGCTGAAACGGTTTTTGAGATTTTATCATGGCTCCATAGGCCGACTATTCTGTAGCCGTATGGATGATTTCCTCTACTGCATGGATTACGACTTCAGAATCTCTGAAACTCTTTCTAACTTTGACAAATTTTTGAAGCACTTACAAGGAGTGTATCTACTTTATTCCCTTGCTTTTGTATAATATATTTTTACTCCATACTGACTGTTTGTTGATTGGCTAATCTTTCTCAGGGTCACTTAAGTTTCGTTCAAAGGTCATCCATAAATTAGAGTCTCGCCGAAGAAATTCACTGGAAATAATTATGACTGGTAATTTGTGAACTTATGCACTGATCTTACCATTTAAAATCTTATCAACATAATTCATTCATGTGTAAACTACAATCAACTTACTTCATAGTTTTCAATTGGATAAAATTGTACACTGATCCCATCTAATCCCCAATCAGACATTAATCCATTCATAAATTCATATGGTAATTGATCAACAATAAAATGAAATACAATCGGAAATCGTTTACGCTTAGCTTCATTAAATGATTGAACACGATCATTTGCTGTTAACCAATTTGAATTAATATGTGTGAAATGTTTAAAATGACAACAATCATCTTTAGATAGATACCATCTTTTTTGATGGAATAAAATTGATTTAATTTGTGTTTCAGCTTGATAACAATTGTCAATACCATCAGCTAATAGCATAGCAATATGTATAGTATCATTATGAAAATCATAATAAGGTTGATACATTGGCTAAATTAAACAATAAATAAAGGTGATTAGAGTAAAGAATATATATTGCATAGTTTATATTACAAAATGACTATAACTAGGTAAGGAGTAAAAAAAAATTAGGAAGCACCGAACAGTTGAATAGAATTGTAAGTTTTCAGTTCGATTCCTTGATTGGATCGTAGGTAGATGAACACAAGTGAATAGTTTCATGGGATGAAACAGTTATCCAATACTTTCTGGTTTTCAATAGTTGTCTAATTAAGGTCAGTTCTTAATGTAAATTATAAAATAAAAATACATTTTAGGTAACCAGTCAATGTTTGATATGCTTTTTCACTAATATCTGTAAATTCATAAATGATTCAGAAGTTTTGATGATAATTCACTACAGATGGAATCGACCAAGTTAGTCATGAAGCAGTAAGTCAACAGTAATATATAGTTAGAGTCAACTCAACGGTAGATATTGATTAAAATTGACGATCTGAAACATTGTGCTCTGTCTTGATAGTCTAAAGTAACAGTATCCGATAAGAGATCTACATATTCCAGGTTCTAACCTAGATGAATAATCAGTAATATTTTAGTGAGCAGAATTGCAACTGGGTTATGCTCAGTGGTCTCATACTTTGATATTTTGGCTCAGTTCTTCTCATTTAAAGCAATCGTTTTTTCTATTCCAGTACCTTAACTTCTAGGTACAAGCGTTTTGCAGAAACTTTTTATTTTGGGCTCAAGATTATGGATCGATTGAAGTTAGATATTAACTATTATGTCTCGATAAGCATAATGAATGGTAACTTTTGGAATCCATTTATGAACCAATACTAAGCGCATAATTTTATCGTATAATTGTTAAATAACTAAACTATACAGATTCATGTCCCTCTAATTATGAACATTATTTTGACCTATGAACTATTATTATTATACGATTTACCATTCTTGAATTATGCACTGTTTATTAATCATTACCTCTCAAACTCACAGCCACATTTGGCCAAATCTTGTACAAATGTTGTTTCCTATTTTATGGTGTGATGTGGTCTGTTTGATTTTTATATAAATCCAGTATGTTCGAAATATATTATTCATATTGCGGAGGCTGAGATTGGTGTTCAGAACTCAATAGACAGGGCTAGGCAGGAAGAAGGACCGATATGGACTCTAGACTGTTCTTACGGGTTTTAGGCGTTATTGGTCCGATCGGTAATTCACTGCTCTCTAACTGACAGTATCGTTACCCTATACATTAACAGAGCACACAGGCCACAAGTTGTAACATCAACATCGTCGGATGCCAGCTCAGTGGTCTAGAGGCTAAACGTTCACGCGTGAGTTACTGGGTCCGCGTCCCGCGTAAGAGATCGTGGATACTCACTGCTGGGGAGTACCACACTAAAACGAATGGCTTTTCAAAATAGATAATGAAGAGATTGGCAAAACGGTAGAACAAAAACATATTCTGTCTGTCATGTTATACTAATGTTATACAATAATAAGACTGATAACCGAGATGTTTGTTATTGTTAGGCTGGATACTCGATCGATAAGCTGAACACAAGTGGGATCACATTACATCAGACACGTGGCTCGCAACCGATTACACAGAATCAGAGCATAGACAAAACAATACTTTATCCAACACAATTACAAGCAATCTACACTTATTAACTTAAAAGTATAAATCACTACCGGTAAGGAAATAGCAAAGTAAATAGTAACTTAATTGTTCGTCTGTCCTTACTTAATGGCCTATCATATCTTACTTCACTAGGCACATATCAAGATATGAACTTTTCCTATTATTATCACAAATTACCTTGGGTTATCTCGTGAAAGAAGCTATATAACATTCAGAAAATCAATATTATTGTCTTTTTCAATCTAGTGCATACTTATCGACTTGTTCCATTTAGTTTAATTTTCAGCGAAAACAAGCATGACTAGTAAAAGTGGAAATTAGGTAGTTATTTTGTCATCATCATTTTTAACCAAGATTCAATGAGTCAGTCAGCTACAACGTAGGACCAGGCACATATGTGCATCGGTCCAGGTTGCCATACCGCATCAGCACAACAAGATGAACACCATCTTTGTGGAAACTATAAGATATACGTGGAGTGGAAGTCTTTGGTAATAAGTATTTTCGAAACATTACTTGCGTATCATGAAATAACGGAGTTAGCAGTGTTAACACTAAGTACAGGAAACTAGGAGAATGTGGCAAGTTGCTTGATAAGATCGTAATTCGTAGTCGATTGAAGTGGTTAGGACCAGTAATAAGTATGTCTACCCACTGCCTAACCCAACATGCAAAGTTAGATGGAATTGGAGTAGGTTTGAAAAAAGTTAGGAGGGACTCAGTTAACTTGACTGTTGATCTGACCCATGTTGGTAGTTACAGTCTAGCTAGTTAGGGTCTTCTTAATAACCGTGATCAATGGTCGGATTTTTTTAGTGGCATGGATCACAACCAGTCACAATGGACCCGATTCATTCACTCAATAACTTACTCTAGATCTTGAGTTTCAGAATTCTTTCTTACATACCTTTTATTTCTGTCTTCACGAACGACACCGTCAATGTTTAGTCTTTTGCGCTGTCATTATTATTACATTATTTCGACCTATTGATAATACATCTTATTAATTTGATCTCACGATCAAAATGCATCATAAACAGAACTTGAAATGAGTTTCCCTAGTGTCAGTAGAGGATAAAAAAGCAGAAACACATTTTTACCCAGCATCATCCGTATTCAATAATGCTTCCATTTGTAATTCAGTGTGAAAATTGTTCCGTATAATATTTATTATATTTTAGTGTGACATTTATTTAGAATGATACTCTTTGTATTAACTTAATCTGAACTTCGTTCAGTATAATACACATACTTTTTGGTAATTCTGTGTAGTAGTGATTTTCTGTGTTTCTTCTGTCAGTGATACTTTAACTGTTAAAGTTGCCAACCGATTTTAACTAGATCTCAATTGAAAACCCGGAAGCATTGGACGGCTGTTTTGGAATTGCTAGTAATGCCCATCCATAACCACGTATTCAGGATTCAAACCCAGGACCATGAGTTCAGCGGTAGTCGTAATATTACTAACTAAACATCCAATACAAGTCAAGTCACTATATAATTGAGTGTATTTGAAAAAAGTATTTGTTATCCTATTTATGGAGTGTGGATAAAATCTTAATTTGTTCTCTTCTTTTCACTGAGCGAATCTCAGTGTTTTTCCATTCAAGTACCAGTTTCTGCAGTTGTAATATCTCTTTCAAGAACGATGTCTGTTGAAAACCCACAGTTCCCAATATACACTGTCGTACTGTAAAGTGTTGGGCCCTGATACTGATACAAGAGCTTCCTTTTCACAAGCCTAACCAGCTACTTGACTGGGAAGACTGTAAGTGTGAAGGAAGCTGTCTATCGATCAACTAAATCGAAGGATAATTGAACACTCATTCATATACAAGTATATTTGTCTCAATGAAATTAAAGCCACATTTTTACACCAATGGCGTGTGCCTCATTCCCTGGGAAGAAAATCCATATATTAGCAAAACGATTGCAGCTATCACTTGTCTGGAATTTGATAGCCCCATTATATCATGCATGTGAAAATCGATAGGTCAAAATTACTCCTTCTTGTTCATCGACAAAAGATACTGCTTTTCATTATCTTACCATCGAATACATTTTTAAAAATGCAATCAAACACTGATTCAGTTATTCATCGTTTTACAGATGTTTAAATTATTAATTTAGTGATTTGCTTTAGTACAACGAATGTAATTAGTCCCTTTTACAAATCTGGATAGTGTAATAACAAGGTGAAAGTAATAAGAACTAAGTGATATTTTAGCGTAACACATTTGAATCATCTGATCACTCATATAGTTGTCAAGAACATTTATATATTAAAATAAAAGGTCAACTAGACTACAGGGTAAGAGGAGACAAAAATAATGAAGAAAATAATATGAGTAATATTTTAGATTGAGATCATGAACCGATTGATGTTAGACCACCATTGAAAACCTGTAAGCACAGGACGGCCGGTTCGTTCTATTGAGGGACTCCTGAGCAGTGCTCATCCACAATCCCGCTCACGGGATTCGAACTCAGGGCCTTTATTCTCGCGCGCGAACGCTTAACCTACTGGACCACTGAACCGGCATCCAATGGTGTTAATGTCTAACCTCAACTAATCCACGGAGTTCTGATAAGAAGCCGTGACCAGTGGAGCTAATCCGTGTCGATTAGAGACAGGTATCTACCTCAGTACAATGGAAGATGGTCGCGCGAGTTCGTGAATTGGTTGAGGTTAGACATTAGCACCACTGGATGCCGGCTCAGTGGTCCAGTAGGTTAAGCGTTCGCGCTCGAGACTGAAGGACTTGGGTTCGAATCCCGCGAGCGGGATCATGGATACCCACTGTTGAGTAGTCCCAAAGTAAGACGATATGGCCGTCCAGTGCTTCCAGGTTTTCAATGGTGGTCTAACATCAATCGGTTCATGATCTCAATCAAAAACTTAACAATTTCCACAACCCCTAAACTGATAATATGAATAATAGTTGGAAACCTCATCACTCTGGATAATAAGCTAATATTACCAGGGTAGTTTTGAGGTGAGAACAAACTGTTTCTGAATACAAAAAGGGGGTTTGAATCTTGTTATGGCTGGGGCTTCAATAAACCTTAGTATACTATTTTACACTTTTGTACAACACCACAGAAGTTCTGTTAGGATCAATCTTATGAAATGTTTCAACTATGTGCTTAGCGGCAGAGGATATTGGATATTTATCATCTACTCTAATTGGGTCGTTTGGTTTTATTTGTTTTTGCAACCATTTAGGTACATGTTCAGACACCCAACGAATGTAATTAGTTTCGAAAATTGGACAGTTAAACAAACACAAAGTTATATTTTAGTTCAATAGACAATCTGCTTTGTTATTACAAGTAACTATGGTAACCCTAGGAACATTGTGATATGATTACA